TCACTCAATTTGATGTGTTTACATTTTCTGCTGATAAAACTGTTTTGCTTGTAAATTCTCTTCAAATTCTACTCTTGACTCAACTGGAGTACCTTTGCCTGATTTTTCTACTTAGAATTGAGTCTCTATTGAGTGATATGTATTTAATGTCATCCACAGTTTTTGTTATCTCTTAACTGGATCCTCACAAAGCATAAGGACTTGATGGTATCCCTGCAATAGTCCTTAAGAAATGTGCTCCTGTTCTCTCTAAACTCTATGATAAATGCCTTGCTGCTTTCTGGTTTTCCTGCTTGTTGGTGATCCTCTTCTGTAGTTCCAGTCTTTAAGAACTTAAGCAGACTGTCTGATCCTTCTATCAGCCTTTTAGCATTCTACCACTTTTTGGCAAAATACTAGAAGCTCTAATTAACACCTGAATTGGTTAATCATCTCACCTTGCAGGGTTTTCTTTCAGATAAGCAATATGGCATTTGCTTCTCTAGGTCAACTGCTGATGTATTAACAATTATTGCTGAAAGAGCCTATCAAGCTTTAGATAAGAATAATAACGCTTGGGCTGTTGCTTTGCATATATTGAAGGCATTTAACAGGGTTTGGCATACTGGTCTTCTTCACAATCTTATTGTAATCCTCGACAAATTTGTGAATTGGTTGTCTTTCTTATCAAATTGTGAAATGCAAGCTATCTTGAATGGCCACTCTTCTAGGTCCTTTTGTATTAATACAGGTGTTTCCCAGTACTCTATCCTTGGACCTACATTGTTCCTAATTTTCATAAATTCCTTTCTTGATGTCATCAGTTCTCAGTTCAGTATCTATACTGATGACATAACTCCTGTCTTAACAGTAAGTCTGATTGGCAGATAATCTAAAAAATGACCTACAATTTGTTGTTAATTGGAATAAGAAATGGCTTGTTAATTTTAACGCCTCTAAAATGAAACTGCCTTCTTTTAATCACTTAAAAGAACCTGTTTTACCTTCCATCAGCATGGCTGATGCTAACCTCTAGGAGAGTGACTCATTGCACCTTCTTGGACTAACATTTTTCACTGACATGAAATGGGAAAATTATATGGAATCAATTGCTAGGAAAGTTGGTTCAGTATGTTGTGCTCGTCAATTTTTCTCTCCAGAATCTATCTTACATATTTATAAGTCTTTTCATTTGTCTTTGCTTTGAATACTGCTGCCACATCTGCTCTGGTGCTCTTTACAATCTCTTTTTATCCTTGTCTTGCCATCTATTCATGTAAACTTGTTAAGTTCCATTAACTTTAAGTCTTTCCTTACGTCTCTTTCTGATTATACATATAAATTGCCTTGTACTTCCTTGTTGTTCACGTGGTTCATTCCTGGTATTCTCAGCATTCGTCAGCAGAACAAGCATCTATCTCACTTCAAATCACTTTTTTACCCATGAAGAGATTATGCATTCACTGCCATATAGAAGATTAGATATTATATAGAACTTTAATTCTAATGGCATTTCCATATCTCATTATACTTTTGTGTTTGTTTAAAAGATAAGGCTTCTGTAAAGATTTGTGGGGATTATTCCATTTTGTCTAACTGGAAACCAGCTAAGTGTCATTGTATTATTTGTTCTGCAATACAGCAACAACAGGACTTGTCTTTGCAGGGGGAAATTTCTTTCCTTTGGAAAATTGACTACTTAATTTCAAACAAACCATGTGGACATTACACACACACACACTATGGACAGGTACATGATTTTTTTTGTTTATATACATAAATATTTTCTTTCTTTTTTCTAGTCATGTTGTTCATGTATTTAATCTCATTTTTCTTCAACAACCTTCCCAATGTCATCAGTCCCCAACTAGGTATTTATACTGATGATACAAATAGTCCTGTCTTAATCTTTAGCATATTAAATTCTTTCTACAATTGTTCCCCCCTTAAACTGCATTTTTTTTTTGAGGGCATTTTAAAACAACTGTTTTAAAATTGTAACTTTCTATCAGGTGTATAGATTTAATTTTATTTTTTTGTCTACTAATAAAAGAATTGACGAGTAATATTTTCATGTAATGCATTACATTTTGCATGCATGTTTTGATGTTAAAAAAAAAAATGAAATACAAAATAAAAAACAAATACATTAATTTAATATACTTTAATTTTTATTACTCCTTGTGGAGTTCTGGGGGGGGGTGCAATAAGAAACAAAAATGGCTTTCATTCTGTCAAAATGTTTTGCTTGTGCTTATACATGTGAAGATACCAGTCTTTGTTTGATCTTTCTTTCATCTGGCCAGCATATTTATTTGTCTCATTGGACAAAGTTATTTTTGTCATTTATAAATAGACAAAATGTTTCACCTTCAGAAAGGTGGTCAGGTACATTTATTAGGGCCAGTAGCTTCCATAAAATTAGTCAGCCATGGATGATAGTAGCTACATGGCACCTCATGGTCATCGTGTTCCTCCATGTCATCATGTGTGGTTACCATCTTCAATATCCACTTGAATAAAAGGTTCAAAATTATCATTGGCATCCAAATCAGAAAAAAAAACTGAATAAAGGTTTCATTGGTGTGGCCATTTTTGTTTACAAAAACAAACTAATATGGGTTTAATCAATATCATACCTGATGTAGAGTCTAGAAGAATTCAAAATGGCATTGGAAAACAGAAGTTTAGCCCCATTCCAAAGCAGTAGTAGGTAATTTGTAGCTTAAAATACTGGAAATAACAGTTAACAAGTATTTATTTATAGAAACTGTCTCAAGGTGACAGAATGCACCTACAGCTGCAAAGGGAGAGAATACTACAGTGACAATTTTCATCTCCATGGTAAAATGTTAATAGTCCAATATGTCAAAGTACAACTGGCAGCTACTCTTGAAAATGACCCTTAAGCTGTTAATTGGGGCAAGAAATGGCTTAACTTTAACAAGTATTTTTTTTTTTAAAGACCTAAACAAATTCCTTAGACATAAGCAGTGAAATGAGAACAATCAATCCCCAAAGATTAAATAAAGGGTTCAGTTTGAAATCCCTGCATTGACATACACCTGATAAAGATGAGGACAGGGCTTAGCATGTAAGTAACCATTTTCTTTCCTTCACTCATACATACCCCTGCAAAAGAGTTAGGCAAATCAAAAATTTGGACACACCCTTGATTTTGGATATAGTTTTGCAGCCCAGTTTAGGGAAAAAAAAAAAAAAAAAAAAAAAAAAAAGAGACAAATCCAATAGACATAAAATGTCTGTACTTTTTAATAAAACTTGTTTAGAACAATTACTGCCTCATCGGAATATAAGCTGAAAAATTTTACTGAAAAGTGGTTAGAAAGCTATCTTACTAGTTTCCTCACAGAATTTAGGCTTGTTTGTTTCATCTTAAAACAAGTGTGTGTGAGAAAGAGGCCTTTAAAACAGTCAAGGGACAGTAGTTTATTTCCACCACCCCTGACTACTAAAAAAAAAAAAAGTGCAGATCATGTAGTTTATCAATCTAGAAAGTTGAATCAGTATGCAAAGTTAAAAGTTCCAGCCTCATCCATTGCATTTAATTTTGCATTAATACCCTTGGGAAAGGTATGAATTCATCTTTTAGATGGAGGTGGGTAAGCTAGACTAATCTTGGTATTGAAGTGGGCAGTTTTGGAGGATGATGACTGAATTTAAATCATTTTGCAACTACCTTCTCCCCCACCCTGACACTAATATTTATGTTCCTGCTGTCAAGTGATGACAATATACCCAGCATTTATCTAATTTTGTTTAATTTGAATGCAGTCAGATTTATTAAACTCAAATTACAAGCACATGCGTTTACTATTATTTAAAAAGAAAAGAACTAAACATTTTGGACATGTGGATTCAATGTCCAGACTATTTTTCTGAAAATATTAAAACTGCCAACTTTACAAATCAGTATGATTAGAGGAATTCAAATCATATACAAAAATGGAAAAGCAAAATTAAATTTTATTCTAGTCTCTCCAGAAACCTGCATGTAGAGTAATTTTTGCCAACATAATTCTGTCTTCAGACCAGCAACTTTACAGATTTAATTATCACAATTCACAAGTTTATGAAGTAATTGCTTCTGTTTCAGCTGAGCGTTTCTGTTTCTCCAAATCACTTACATAAATATGAAGAAATTCATTATTTCTCAAGACCAGTTTCATATTGTTTTTGTTTAGAGCACAAATTTTGGCAGGGTGTGTGTAGATCAAATAATTCCTAAATAAATTTGAAATGGAACATTATACCAAGATAAATATTTATAAATATTTATTTCTGAAATCAAATATACATCTTGATTTTTTTTCTTTTTCAAAATGGAGTTAAATCGAGAGTTCAAGGAAAGAAACAGCAGCAGAAGTCATTTCACAGTTAGTTTCAAGTTCGGTTTCAATATTCTTACAAAATAATGGTAAAATCTAAACAAACATGCAATATCAAGAATCAACAGAAATACAATACAATTAATTTCCGAAAAAGCTGAGTCTAATATATTCTACTGACCAAAGCATTAGCTGGACAGTTTAACAAAAGCAAGCTTTATAAAAAGCAAGACTGAACATATTACTGATGGTATCTTTTGCAGGTTAATAGAAGTTATTAAATCAGGAATCCAGACCTACATAAAAAGAGTCAATTGTTTTTAGAACAAGAAGTCTGCAGTTTACTAAGAGTTTTAATACAAACCCAAACTTCAGTAAAGTGTACTTTAAAAAAGTCACAATTTTGTTTATGTGGCTAAAATGTATTTAGGTATACAAGCCAGCAGGTATTCTTTTGGCAAAGCAAAAAGAATGCAATTGATATCAGCAACAGTTTGTTGCTTGCTTTCAAAAGATAGAATTACAGTTATACTAATACAAGTACATCTCTAAAAAAATTACAACACTAATACTTATTGAACACATTAATTTTCTTTATAACATCAAAAAGTTAATTTTTTTTTCTTCTGAATAGCTTTGAATGAAAACAAACAGATTTAAATATTAAATAATTTAGTCAACTTCTTCCATTTTGGACATATCATCGTCATCTTCCAGAGGAGGCAGTTCAGCATCCACAGAGTCTCCTGATCCACCACTTTCCACAACTTCTTCATCCTCATCTATGCCAAGCCCAAATTTGATCATTCGATGAATCCTGGAAGCATGCGACTGGGGATTTTCAAGATTGAAACCAGATGCCAACAGAGACGTTTCGTACATCAAAACCACAAAGTTCTTTACATTCTTATCATTCCTATCAGCATCGACTTTCTGCTTTAGAGCCTTGATGATAGCATGGTCAGGGTTGATTTCCAAGTGCTTCTTGGCTGCCATGTATCCCATTGTGGCGGTGTCTCTCAAAGCCTGGGCCTTCATGATGCGTTCCATGTTGGCAGACCAACCATACTGACTGGTCACAATACAACAAGGGGAATCCACAAGTCGGTTGGAGACAACCACCTGAAAACAAGTGAAAATTCCAAGTGAATGCAGAATATTAAAAATGAATTATTAAATGGATTTTTCGGCAATTAAAAAGATTTTAGCAGAAATAATTCCCCCCCACCCCATTTTTTTTTTTGAATTCACAATTTGCTTTTTTCCTTTGCTCATTTTCTTGTTTTGTAACAGGAATTTAAAAAAAAAAAAAAAAAAAAAAAAAAAGTACAAAGCTGCAGATATTCAAAAATAAATTACAACTGGATGTCAAGTGTAAATTGATTGGCAAAAATTACTGATGTAACAGGTCACATTTAATCTTTTGGAACACTCATCTCATGGTTGGCTGTGAATTGGCTGAAAACTACTTAGTCAGACCCACTTGCAAAATCTGACTTATTTAGCAAACATCAACATTTTTGGGAAGGGCGCCTCCGTCAAGCCGATAGCTTTCCAGTGTACCTCTTGTAGATATGCCCAAAGAATGAAATTGAACATTTTCTGTGACAAAGTTTTACTTTTTTGTAACAATTTGTCATATATATATATATATATATATATATATATATATATATATAGGTTGATTTCTAGTCATAATACATTAATGCTTACTGCTCGATTTGAGGGGGGGGCACTGGGAATTCATGTGTTAATGAATATCCACAAGAGGGTGATAAAGCTATAAACCTACAAAAACCTTCAAGCAAACAAGTCAAGATGAGCATGTACCTTTTCAACTTTCTTTTCCAAGATATCTTTGATAACTTTGCATAGATCTTCATATTCGTTCTTGGCCTCTTCAAATCTCTTCTTGGTTTCTTCATCTTCTGGCAATTCTAAACCTTCTTTGGTAACGCAGACCAGGTTTTTGCCGTCAAATTCCTTCAGCTGTTGGGCAGCATACTCATCAATTGGGTCCACCATGTAGAGAACCTCACAACCAGATTTGGTGACTTTCTCCACAAAAGCAGAATTTTTCACAGCTTCTTTGCTCTCACCTAGGGGAAAAAAAAATTAACTGAAGTTGTTAGAAAATTAAAAGGATAGTTTTGAAAGACTTAAAATTCTTATTTTAATATTTGCTAAATTTGTGTATCAAACATTCACTGAACAAAATTTGCATTCAGTTATTTATAGTTAATGCAAATTGTAGTTTTGAAAGATGCATGTAAAATTTACTTCCACATAGTATAGTAAATATCTGTTATTGTGTATTACTATAAATTTGGCACAAGGCTTAAAATTGGAGCAAGAGAAGACTAGACTTCTGTTGCTTCGTTTAACCTAGCTAGTCACAATCACTGATCCATTCAGTTGAATATTTATTCAGTCATTAAAATTTGGCATTTACACTTATTCACAGTGCAGTCACTAAAATACTACACTTTCTCTATGTAGTCTTAGCTAGTACCAGTGTACATTTTTATAATAACTTTAAAGTCTCCCCTCAATGCTTATCAACAATAACAGAAAGAAACAGAAGAAAAATACAAAGGTGGGCTGAAAAGTTCATTGGCATCACTCCTTCATATTCAGCCTGAGCTGTGAAGTCTTGTATGCATTAATTTCAACTCTTAACTGCATCGTTCCCTTTCAGATAAACTGACATCTGACTGTTCAAATAGGACTGTTCATACTGTCAGTTAAAAAACGGCACCAGATAAAGAGTCATCACTGATACTGGTTCCCAGCCAAGTATTTTTTTCACGTTGGAGAATGGGGAGGGGGGATGGAATCAACCAGGTCAAATCCAGAGTTACACACAGCAATCACTGAAACCAAGGACTTTAGGATTTGCATAGTCTTCATACATTATACAACCAGTTCTTGAAAAAAATGGCTGAGTGAAAAGTATTTTAGGAATGAAGAAGTTCAGAATTAAGTTTCAATGTTATTAGTCCTCATTGGTTGGTTGTACATAGATTTAAGTCCAAAATTTCAGTTATTGGAAACTATGTTCAGTTAATCTTTAGATATAATAAACTGTATTTAGAGGGGTGGGGAGAAAGAAATTGAAAAATATACAGTACCAAGCATCAACACTAGGCATAAAATTTAATAGCAATTGTTTTAACAATTTTAAAGATTAAGATGTTATAAAGATTTTTTTTCTCAACTATGAGAAACAAATAAGAGAAAATCTTTACATATATTTGCATCTTAACTTTAAATTCCCAGTTTTTCAAACCATTATTCCTGATAAAGCAATAAAGGAAATCCAATCATCATAAACATATGCTTTACATAAAAAAATTCTGATTTATCATTTTTCTGTTATGATTTGGTTTTACTGTTTGCAAATGTCAAAATATGATAAATACCATATAATATCAACATCACCCCCTGCACACGTTATGCGCTTTAACAATAGTCTTGCCAAGGCAGCTGCATACATTGAATAACAGGTTTAATTTAATTCAGGCATTGGTAGCTTTCAAAACTTCCACTTCATGAGCAAATGAAATTCAAATTTTTCTTGCTTTAAGCAAGACAAGAAGTTGAATTGGTCAAGTACTGTACTGTTCTTTGAACAAACAACTGCTGAAGACTGCAGGACATTAAAAAGATTTTCTTCAAACAGGAAAAACCTGTCACTCCATAAGCCGAGATGTAAGTATTATGGTAGGGATTTCCAAACTTGAAGTATTTTATTTGAAAGAGGTGTCTTTTGAAATTATATACGCTATGAAAATCAGCCATAGGAAAAAACCCATGATCTATGTAGATTTTCAGAGACACTGATCAACAAGTAAAAGAAAAAATGTGTGGCCAGCAAGAGACGACATGGGTTTGTTTGTTTTTCTGAATGTCTTATGGCCAGATATTTGCTATAAAACCTAACAAGCTAGAGTTAAAAAAAAAAAAAAAAAAAAAAAGTTGATAAAAAACAATTTTTCAACATTCTGTCCTTAAGCTACATTTTCATACAAACCTAAAAAGATAAATATCTTTTGTGATTTAAAAAAAAAAAAAAAAAAAAGATGGGTTGTCCAGTAGAAACAGAACTTATCACAGACATTGAACATTCCTGAATGTTTAAAATTATATAATTTGTTCATCTCATTGTCTCTCGTTCCATTGCAGTCTAGTACGATAATGACAGCATGAAGTAAAAAATAAATAAATGGCTGAATTTCTCATTAAATTACTCCAAATTCATTTGTAACAAATATTTTAACTATATGAATATATGTTACTAAATTAAAAGTAGTAACTAAGTTCCCAATGAGTAAGTCTGCGCTATCTGGTCCAGGAATTGAATTCACAATTAATATAAAGTTACAAACCAATGCTTTAATCTACTGGGTTAATTAAAAGGTAAAAGATTTTTACATATTTTCCCCCCAGATATTTATGAATATTATTAAGATTTTTCGAAAGATATGCTTAAAAATCTCACCAGTTATATAATAAATACTCTTTTGATTTTCCTTCATGCGAGAAACATAGTCTTTAAGAGAGACCACTTCATCTCCAGAGCTGGAGGTATGGTAACGGAGGAATTCTGCCAATTTCTTCCTGTTGGTATGGTCTTCATGAATTCCAAGTTTTATGTTCTTTGAGAACTGTTCATAAAATTTCTTGTAGTCTTCTTGGTTCTCTGCCAACGAATCAAAGAGCTCTATGCATTTTTTCACCAAATGCTTGCGGATCACCTTCAGGATCTTGCTCTGTTGCAGGGTTTCACGGGAAATGTTTAATGGCAAATCTTCAGAGTCAACAACTCCTTTGACAAAGTTTAGATATTCAGGGATGAGATCCTCACAATTGTCCATGATGAAGACTCTGCGTACATACAACTTTATGTTATTCTTCTTTTTCTTGTTCTCAAACATGTCAAATGGAGCTCTTTTGGGGACAAAGAGTAGTGCACGGAATTCCAGTTGACCTTCCACTGAAAAGTGCTGCAAAGAAAGGAGAAAAACAATCTTCAAGAATTTTTTCAGTTTAATTTCTACAATACCAAAATTTTAAAAGAAATCACATTTATCAAGTTTTAAAACTAAGAAAATAGTAGTTACATTTGATACAGAAGCTCATATCCATTTAACTGTTGAAATTAATTAAATTTAACCAATTATAATCAAGAAACTGTATCAATTCAAGAGAAATAGTTATGCTACATAAGCTAATCCTGAGATATAGATTTTTTTTTTCACATGCAAGAAAAATATAAAAAACCTTGTCAGCTTAAAACCTTGCATTATGCTCTTCTATAAAAACTTTGCATTACTCCACCCTGCCTTGGGAGGCACGGTGGAGTAATGGATAGCAGCTTGGATTGAGGAATCTGAGAGCCGAGTTCGAATTCCAGTCAAATCCATTACATTCACTTATGTGCTAATACCCTTGGGAAAGGTGTGAATCCTCATCTCCCCACCAGCTATGGGTAAATAGCAGGAAACTGGTCTAGGAGAAGGACAACTCTGAATTCAAAACCTGCAGAGGGTCTTTTGGGGACCTTGTGGCACGTAGTGTGCCAGCTCTCCGTATTCAGCCCTTCAAAAAGTGTGTATGGTCTTGCACAAAACCTTCACCACTATAATCAAATCTCATGTACTGTTGTCGGGCTGTTGGTTTTCTAGGAACTGATCTGCTTGACCCTCATACGTCAAATTCGATGGGAGAGTCTAGTATAAACTGTGCACCAATAATAAAGTACATATACAAAAGAAAAAACAATATAAATAGTTAATTGTTGATCATCTGACGATTGGATGGAGTGATTGCCGGAGGGCCTGTCTATGAGACTAAAGTCAGGATGCTGAAGTAATACCAATCAGCTAAGTGATTGGCTAACGTGTGTGTGTGTGTGTGTGTGTGTGTGTGTATTTCACGTGAAATAGTAATTCATGGTCATTCTATCATTTTATATTAATTTGAGTCAAATTGATCAAATAATGAATGATGCAATTCTTTGATCAACCATTGTAAATTATCTTAGCGTGTCATACCCACCTTTACAGCCAAATGTTCTTCCCAGTCATTTGTGAGGGATTTATAGAATTCACCATATTCTTCGTTCTTCACATCATCAGGATTCCTGCTCCAAATTGGCTTCGTTTTGTTCAATTCTTCATCCTCATAATATTTTTCTTTGACACTTTTCTTCTTTTTACCTTTTGTTTCATCTTCATCATCTTCAACATCTTCCAATTTTATTTTTTCATCCTAAAATTGAAAAAAGGCAGTTTTTGAATTTATTAATAATATTATTATTAACATTACTTATGAGGCAAACATGCAGCCTACCACAGACCCATTTTGAAATTAGCTTATTTTGGAAGCAAATGTTTAGCTAAAAGAGTATGCCTTTTTTGCTGAAGCTAATTTATTCTCTGCTATTTTAACATGCAATCTAATTTATTTGGATAGCCATTGAATTGTCTTGTGAAAGAATCCAATGTCCAGAGTTGCAATCCAGAATGTAAAGTGTTATGCGATATGTTTTCACAGGAATAAACCCGCTCTTAACACAAAAGAGCAAACAATCTTTGGTCCAAAAGTTGTGAACTGTTCTTTGCTTTTAGTATCTTTATATTTATTTTCTCTTCCATAAAAAACTCCCATGAGCGTTTGATAGATTTCCATTACAATCAGTTACTTTATGAGCAAAGAAAACCTTAAAGTTGCCATTTTTATGACGAGCTTAAATTTGCTTTCATGACTGGCATATACTTTAAGAACAATCCAGTTTTTTTTTTTTCAACATTGAAAAAAAATTATGAAACTGTATATTAAACATTCAATGTTTTAGTTATGCACATGGATACCAAAAGCCTGCCTGTCTTGAAAAACAGTACTCAACACCAATCATAAGTGCTAACATTGTATGTTTGAAGGTTGTGGGGGGGTCCTACATGGAACAAGTATTATTTAATAAGATCAAGTACAAGTTTATTAGCACATTAAATGAAAGTGATCATTGTAGTTCTAAACAATACAAAGTTTCCATTTTTATTGTAATGTATAGAAATTCAGTTTCATCTGCAAACCAGAGGTAAAAAAAAAAAAAAAAAAAAAAATCTTCCCCTAATCTCAAGAGACAGTAAGCCAAAGATTTTTTTCCCCTTCACAAAATGGAGTGGTTTTATTACTGATGAAGAGCTCTGCAAATATTTTTGTCAAATTGATTAATCAAGCATTATCATCTGACAGTAAAAAATAATTTACTAATAAGGCTACAAGTGAACACAAATATAAACAGTACTAAGTAGCAGTCAGTTAAATTCTACTTTTATTGAAACTTCAGGCAAAATAAAGAAGTCAACCATGATAAGATTTTACAGATTTTTTTTTTAAACCATTTTTATAAACATTTTTATACTGTTATTTTGCTTTAAACCATTTCCTTTAGAAAAGTTTATTCACTATTTAAAATTATATTATAATTTAAGTATAAAAAAAGATTTCTGTTGCAGCAGTTAACAAGCATGAGTAGTGTTAAGTTATGCTAGATGCAGTTATTGAACATGTCACCATCCATTTACTGCTAATTATTTGAGCGAAGTTGAAATTACATGTTCAGAATTGATATGAAAAAGTGGCAAGGGTATTTATCAATTCCTGTAGCCATTACGGCATTGTAAGTAAACAAAAAAAAAAAAAAAAAAAAAAAAAAAGTAGTAAAGGGAAACTAAGCAAAGAACTGATAATATCAAATTAAATTATCTAAAAACCCCCAAGAATAAAGTTCCTGGTTTACCTCTTCTTCGTCAGGCTTTTTGTCTGTCTCTTTCTTTTCTTCCTCCTCTTCCTCATCATCAGACACTTCTTTGGTACGCTCCTTCTCCACATAGAGCTTGATGGGATAGCCAATGAATTGACTGTGTTTTTTCACCACTTCCTTTATACGTTTCTCTTCCATATAATCCAGCTGGTCTTCCTTCAAGTGAAGGACAATCTTTGTACCACGGCCAAAGGGCTCAGCTGAATAAGACAAGAAATAAGTTGAAACGAAAAGAAAAAATATGGATATTGCTGAGGGAGTACACAGTAATAGCAGTGTCAAAAGAAAAGAAAGAAAGAAAAAAAAAAAAAAAAAAAAAAACGCTTTTTTTTTTTTTTTTTTTATATATATATATATATATATATATATATATATATATATATATATATATATATATATATGAATGTTAAAAAGGTGAATTTATACTTACAGGAGGAGTTCTTGATGGTAAAGGTACCACCAGCAGAGGATTCCCACACATGTTGGTCATCATCATTATGTTTAGATTCAACAGTCACTTTGTCAGCCACAAGGTAAGCAGAATAGAAACCAACACCAAATTGACCTATCATAGAAATGTCAGCTCCAGACTGCAAGGCCTCCATAAAAGCCTTTGTTCCAGATTTGGCAATTGTTCCCAAATTATTCACCATGTCAGCCTTGGTCATTCCGATACCAGTGTCAATAATGGTTAATGTGTTGTCCTCCTTGTTGGGGACAATTCTGATAGACAGTTCTTTGCCACTGTCCAACTTGGAAGGATCAGTCAAGGACTCATAACGAATCTTGTCCAGGGCATCTGAGGCATTGGAGATCAATTCTCTCAAGAAGATTTCTTTGTTGGAGTAAAAAGTGTTGATGATCAAACTCATCAACTGAGCAATTTCTGCCTGAAAGGCAAATACTTCTCCATCGGATTCAGACATCTGGAACAAAAAAAAATTAATTTAGTCTCCCCCACTTTCAATAATCAAACGTCTCATTAAACATTAACTTCAAAATCTGTATAAATTATGATTTTGATAAAACAAATTAGACAGATCCAAATTACAGCAAACATTACATATTCTATTAATCAATTTCAGGCAAAACATAAGAATCTATTTTATTGTAAGTGGATACAAAATTTAAAATAAAATTTAATGAAGCAATGGAGACATAAAAATGACATAGCATGTAAAACATTCATCTGTAAAGCTTCAGCTTTTAAGCATGGATATTTATTAAGTTATTAGAAATTTTATACCCTCCAAGTAACACATTTCAAATAGAGCTGAGCACTTAAATATTTGTGTGCATTGTGTCCAACATTTGTGTCCACACGCCAGATATAAATGAAAGAATAATGTATCAAATAGTCAGTCTGCATGATTTGACGACTAGCAGTTGGAGATAACAATCCAAGAATCAGAAAGAAATTTTCCTGTCTTGCCTATTTCTGGTCATCTAAAAGCTGTCTTTTTTTTTTTTTTTTTAACACCAACAATTCCTGTAATATAAAATTTTTTGATTTACACTTCATCTGCTTTTTCTTTTCTTTTATTCCCTCCTCAACAAAGAAAAAAATGGAAAAGTCCTTATATTTTAATAATTTTTGAAACTACTACTCCACCTCACACCCACCAAAAAATGTTTGATCAATCTATAGTTTAGTGTATATGAATACACTAAACTATAGATTTATCAAACACTATAGATTGAATATCAGACAAGTATCAACCAAAAATAAAAGAGTGACAAAGAATAGAGATGAAAAATTGAAACTAAAGTAAATATTGACTGCTTCATATACTTACAAATATATATTCAATGGAAGTGGCTCATGCCATAAATAGGATTAAGGTAAAAAAAAAAAAAAAAAAAATTTTTGCCGGAGCGCTGCAACAAGTGCATGAAGTCAGAGGATCCTAAGTTGAAGGAGATTAGAGTTTTGTACTTCTTTGGAATTTATAAATGTCTTCTGAAAAAATCTTAACACTTTTGGAGTGCATCTCATAAATCATTTCTCCTTATAAGCATTTGAATATTGCAGAGACCGTTTTTTATAATCACTATGTATATTTGTGAAGAATAAACGTATTAAAATATAAATTAAGATTTGATAAAATGAACAAATTGAGTTTCAAACTATAGGAAACATTCAAAGAATTAATTTGAGGCAAAATAAAAATAAAAAAATTGATTTTTATTGAAAATTAAGATATGATAACCTGACAGTGGATACCAACTTAAAATTTAGTTACTTTATAACTTACAGAGAAAAATAAAAATTATGAATCCTAAAAATTTCAGCTTTTGTAGAATAGAGCTAAGCATTGCTTTTAAGTGTTCACACTCATTTTGTGTCTACCACACATGTGGTATAAACAAAAAGGAAAACATACCAAATAGTCAGAGTGCATGATATGCTGAATACAAGTCAGATGTAACTGCCCAAGTTGAAGCTGCTAAGAAATCTTCCCGTGTCTAGTCTATTCCTTGATTATGAAAATTTTAGTCTATTCCTTGATTATGAAAATTTTGGATTTACACTTATCTGGTTCCTTTTCTTTGTGGAAGAGTTTTTGCTTTTTTAGAAAAAAAAAATTTTACCCAACTCAACTTTAATACTAGAAAAACATAAGCATTCTACCTTGTACCAGTTGCTTGAGGCAATGTGATGTTAGTGTTAATAATCCTGAAATGGTTACACTTTAGCACATTAAAAGAATAATCTAGATTTGTGACTTATTCCATAATCATTACGTTTTCATGCATTTAAAAAAAAAAAAAAAAAAAAAAAAAACACTAAATCGAACTACTATTACAGGACAAAATTAGATTTTTTTTGTCAACCAGTTTAATGTTTGGGATGTTCATATTGTCTAACAGGTATTGGCAAATGTAATTCAAATTCTGACTGTAGAGATGTCCTTGTGAAAAGGCATGAATCCACCTCTTCTCCTCCCCAAATAACAGTACTGACCAAGCTCTCAAGCCTTGAGTGGCATCCAGCATAGGAAGAAAAAAAAAAAAAAAAAAAGTAACTGAACTGAAAACTGGAGAAGGCAGTGGTGGGGAGTAACAACTATCTTTCCCCAAGATGTCCTGGTAATTCATAACAAATCCGGAGAGCCACATTTGATTGAAGAGACATAGCATGAATGCACTAATGAAAATTAAAATTTCTCTAATTAGCTTTTAAATTAGATAAGAGCGGGATTTTGTTCTGCTTGCAAGAACATGCAAGAGATTCATAGAGAATCAAGAGGATACTGCAATTATAAACTTTAAATAATTAGTTCAGTTGTCTGGAAACAGGTTCATATTTAACTTGGTTAAAAATGTTTTATTTACAAATATAAATTAGGTACATCCAAAAATCTACTGAAAAAATGTTGAAAAAGGCCCCAAACTTTATGAAAAAAAATTTTTATCATCAAAATGTTTATTATTAAGAGGAAAGACCAAGCATTTTTTTTTTTTTAAGTTTTTAAAAATCTTTCTAGCACATTCAAAATTATTTTAAAAAAAACTTGTTTTTCTCGAGTCAATGGGGAGGTAGCAAAGATTAGTATAGGAAATTTTAGTGTGTTCTTGCTGTGAAAAACAAATTGATTTGAAAAAATTAAATAAAGTAAAAAAATCCAATAATTTGTTTTTAATGAAATTTTCAGGACTTTATTTTTAGAAAATCTTGGCAGGAATTTGTGTTTTACATATGTTAATTTGAAATATTAAATTTTATCTATTAACTTTAAATTAAAACTGAAAAGCTTCAAGAAAGATTTAAGAAAGATTTAAGAAAAAAAAAAACAAAAAACCCTCATTTTAAACATTTTTTTGTGGTGGGGGGGATATCTGATATAAATACTTTTTCAGTAAGAAAACCAAAAATTAAATAACTGAATTTAAATTTTTTTTTTTTTTAGTAATTCAAAGCCTTTTTAGAATACAAAATTATACAACACAAGCAGTTAAATGACTAAAAATGTACATAGACTCCTCCACAAACCAGGACCATCATGTTGAGTCGATCAACTTATGCAGGTTAACAGTCAATATCTGAATGTATTTTTAGTCTTTATTAGGTAATCTATTATGATCTTTGTGCATAACTTTTTGACTACCAGTTCTTGAGACACAGCTAAATGCAAAGACTTCAAATACAAACCACTTAGCCTGGAAGAACAAATTTAGTTTGGCACCATACCAACTATCAATGATAGTTGGTCTGGCAAGGACTAGATTATTCTATTACACTCCAAGAATGCATACGAAGTACAAGTTTAGATGACTATATAAACCATAACTTGTATAGAATGTGCTAACATTGGAAAGCAAAGAAATTGCATCAAATAAGACATTTAATATTAGTAACATTAGCAGTTTCCTTATAAGGAAAGATTAGGCATTTAGTGACTGAACAGCCAGTGCTGTTTTTTTGTCGAAATTTATAAGATCTTTCTTTTAAAAATTTTTTTCAGGAACATAGGTTTCTCAAGTCTACCTATCACACTTTCTAGTATTAATTGGGCGGACGGGCTTCCTTCCTTCCTGACTATGTCTGAAGTAGTGTGCAATGTCAACATTTTGATTATGTCATTATGTTCAAGTTACATGAATTATCCATTTTATTTGTTGCAGTTTTTTAAAAGTCCTCAAGTCATGTAGTTTCTGGTACAGTACTTTGTGACTCTGTAGCACTAGTCCAAATCTATATTATCTTAATGTATTAAAACAAAATGGATAATATACTTAGCTTCAAAATAACAACCTTTATAAAAAAAACTACCTATTCCTCTCTTGCACATATCCCATAAGTTTATTGCTTATAGGATTGATAGATTTTATACACACACATTATATATATATATATATATATACACACACACTAGCATAACTTTATTTGTTATTGAGAATAATATTTAAATGTTAAAGCATCTCAAATTATGATGTAAAAATAAAAAATAATATTCTACACTACAGCTTGAGCAATAAAATATAAAACATCCATAGAACATCTAATTTTGATAGCTAGAAATTAAGCCATTGCTCAATTAATAAAATATGCAGTATTGCCATAGCGAGAACTATTTTTAACTTTTAGAGAATTTTTTATCATCATTTCACCCCAAACAAGGCAATAAAGCCACTGGGATGCAAGGGGGTTATTGAGTGTTGGAGAATGAGAAAAACTTCTATTAAGGAGAGAGGACAATAAAAGAACAAGAATTAAGACAGACGGTAACAATTGACATTGCATTTAAATTTTTTAACATCAAAGTTGACTAGAAAGCAAGAAGTTGAAAGACTTTCACTCACAAGTGCTTCAAGAAACTGTTGGTGGAGAACTTTGTTACATTTATAACTTTAAATATCTAAACTTTCTGTACAATGTATTATTTAAAATTCTGCCTTATATATACTAGTTTGTCATTTTATATCTGAACAGTAGTTGGTCTGTGTGTTAAAAAAAAAATGTAACTTATTTTGCCCTAGTTCATTTATTTTATTTAGATTTAAGTTCAGCAATGTGGTGGTCTTAAAATCTCTTAGTCTTAAATTCACACTGCATAGTTTTATTAAATAAAAACAAAAAAGGGGGCGGAAAATAATTTCAATCTGCAAATTTACAAGCAGAAGAACTGAACCATATTCAAATGATCCGATTTATGCAAGAATCTTGTTACACACTAATTTAAAATAAACAAAAAAGAAAGAAAGTGGGGGTCGTATTAATAAGTAAAATTACAAGCAGCAGTCTTTGTTTGACAGCCTAACAGACAGATTTAGTTTGGGACCGGTTTTCACAAATTTGCAGACAAATTACTGGGTGGTCCGAAAATCTTGTCACCCCACCACATTTTTTTTTTTTTTTTTTTTTTTGGACTGAAACGAGCTCTTACAGTTTGAGAGAGAGAGAGGCGTAATAAGAATTTCTGAACACCCTGTACATAAAGTTAATGATTAACAACCACCTTATTTACTAGAATTTTATTTTTGTAGAACGATACTTGATCTTTAAAAAAAAAAGTCATTAATGAATGATGCATAAAAAAATAAAAGTAAATAAAGATTTTTAGTGGCAGTGTTTTTAGTCAAACTGTTGTACAAGTCTTGTATATAATTTTTTTTTTTTTTTTCAAATTATTTAGATTAGCGAACTTTTCAAAAGAGGAAGTTCTTTCATTGATTAACTCTTTCTTTACGTTGTGAAAGGAATTTCTGCAAATACTGACCGGTAACTGCTCAGCTTTAAAAAGGGGTTGGAGATGCATTCCTCGATATTATTCAGTAATAAGAAAAAAAAGAAAAGACATTATCGTCAAATAACGTCTGTACCAGATGAGCCACGATTCTTGCCATTATGCAATGCCGAATATTTTTTTTTAACGTTTTTATTCTGACCAACGCTAAGATTTTTAAATTTGAACTTGCAAGTTTCTTTAAAAAAAATGAAAAAAATGTTTACTGAATGTTATTAAAAAAAAATGTTTACTGAATGTTATTAAGTTTTTGTAGACATTTACAATAATTTGTAAAGTTCGTTGGCTTCTAAACTGAAAACAACGTTTTTTTTGTTGTTGTTGTTGTTTTAGAGACAAACAAAAACAATCTGGGCATTTTATTTTATTATTTTAAATATTTATTATTGAATTCTTGCGACAGAAGTGGTTATCAGAAAGCAAAGGAATGTTTAAAAATAAAAATACATTAAAAAAAAAAAAAAAAAAAAAGTCATTTTACAAAGTAAAAAAAAAAAAAAATTTTGAGTAAACTTCAATTTCTTGGATTTGATTTGCTGGAAGCTTCCAGCCAGTTTCAAACCAAATTTCTAGCAAAGTTAAGGTTTATTGCAAAAAAAAAAAAAAAATCTGGTTAGAATTTAAAGAGAAAGCAAAACATGAACACTGAACAGTGTGTCCCTTGAGAGGGTGGGGATCATGGCTCTCCACAGTTTCTCTTGTTTTAAGCAGCAACTTTGGCGTAAAAATAAAATATTCTACTAATCTGGCTTTATCAACGTTTCAATCGATGTATATACTCCGATCTTCTTCCTAAAAAAGCGTTAATAATGTATTTTCCACTTTTTCTGAGAGATTTTAAAATTTAAAAAGATACTAAGGAAGGCCGGAGCTTACAGCGGTCGAAAGGTAGTAATTAAAAAAAAGAAAAAAAAAGTGATGCAAGAAACATTTTAAAGAAGGAAAACGAAAGCTACTTTCCTAGTTTTGTTTTCGAAGTTTCATTTTTAAGAAAATTAGAAATAAGAAAGAAAGTGATTTCCAGGAAGAAAAGAACAAAGAAAAATAAATGAAAAAAAAAAATTAAGATTTCTTTGTGTCTAAGAAAAAAAAAGAAAAAAGAGTCTAAAATTAATGTCATCGAATTTCAAAATTAAAGATAAAAATTAAAAAAAAAAAAAAATGAAATTCAATGAAAAAACATCAAAGAAAGAGACAAGAATGAATGGAAAACAAATTTAAACAAAAATATTTACGTACCTCAGAACTGGATTTATCGCCAGTCAAGAAAAAAAAAAACGGATCTGGTGTATAATAAATTTCTTGCGCAAACAAATCCCAAACGTGTTTATCCCTGGCAAGAAATAAAGTAAGAAGTTAGAATAAAGCCACCCACCAAAAAAAGAGGTGAAGACTTTTTTTCATTAAGTTTAAAAAGTATTGCCTTTTGTTTGCTGTTGTCTTATTTTTATAAACAAGAGCGCACAACTGACGCCGCTTCTTATCAATCGACAACGCGGAGACGAAGAAGAACAAGGGAGATAAATCGATTTCGAAATAGCAAGCAAATTCTCGAAATAACTGCAACAAACAAGATTAAATTATCTTCAATTTTTTTTTAATTCGCAAATCGTACATTTAAGGTACGGATGGTAATTTCGCAAATCGAACATTTAAGGTCGGATGGTAATTTCGTAAAAAAAAAACTTTGCAATAAAAATCTTAGATAAAAAAAAGATAAAGAAATAATTTTCCCCTCTTCTCAGAGTGACCAGGGTGAAAAAAAAAATTTTTTTTTTTTTAAATGTGTAATTTAGTTTTAGAGGTTTTAAGAAAAAATTGCCAAGATGATTATTATTTAATTATTCACAATTTATCTCTTTTTTAATAGACTGCAAGGGACACCTACTCGGAGTTAAGGATTATCATAAGGATATATTTTTTTTTTTAAGTTTTTCTTAAAGAAACTGCAGGTGACACCAGCTCACAATTTGAATTAGGGATTTAATTAAATGTAAGGGACACCAGCTTAGAATTTAAAGTTAGGGTAAGGACAGTTTTAAAAAAATCAAAGAAAATTGGGATTAAAAGATAATGACTTTAAAAAAAAAAACAAAAAAAAACAAGGAACTCTACTACAGTGATTACATTGAAAAATTATTCTCCTAAATGATTAGGAGAATGACTTTTGAAACAAAATGTCTGGGACACCAGCACAGATTTAAAGTCAGGAATAAGGTTTTTTTTAAACATTGGACATCAGGTTCAGAATTAGGTTAAGGGCAATGATTATGTCTTAGTCATTTTTTTTTAAGCAACATGCAAGAGAGACCAGCTCAGAATTAGGGGTAGGGATTAGGGTAATGTTTTTTTTTAACAAAATGCATGAGACAACAGCTCAGAATTAGGGTTAGGGATAAAGCTAACAATTTCTATTTGGATTTTATGCAAAAGAAAATGTAAGGGAAACCACCAGCTTCGAATTAGGGTAATGACTATTTTATCTTTTAAAAAGAAAAGGCAAAAGACATCAGATGAGAATTGAATTAAGACTATATAGGCTAATGAATGTTCTTTATTTTTAATAAAAAAATTCATCATATATGGAATAAATTTTAATTCGGAATTAGTGATATACTAAGGTAATCATAATTTTTAAACAAAATGCTGAAAAGTATTGAGATTTAGGGTCAGAGAGAAGGTAAATGTTTTTTTATTATTTTTATTTTAAAGAAAATGCAAGGGACAACACCTCAAAATTAATGTTAGTGATTAATGTAAGGATTAAAAAATCTACACAGATAATACAATGATATAAAATTATTTTTAATAAAAACAATAATGTTAAAATTGTATGAAGAAAAAATAATTAAAATGTTGGAATTGTATAAAAATTAATACAGAAATTATTTTAATAAAAAAGATAATATTAAAATTGTATAAAAAACTAAGAAAATGTTGGAATGTGCAAAAATTAATAAAAAAAAGTTATAAAAACATATAATAATTATCAATGTGTATTTATATATTTCCTGTCTCATCTGAAGGCCTAATAAAACAGACTGAAATACAAGAGTGGTAGCAAACAGTACTTTGAGAAGAAGGGTTTTGTGCATCAGAAAACATTACATGGTAATATATTTTTGCAGTATATACTATAAGATAAAGAACAAATAGAAAACATTTATCAATCTAACATGTTTCACTTTTATTAAAGCTTCATTAGAGAATGAAATATGGAGAAAAAATAGAAATTCTGGTATTTTTAATTTTGAGTTGTTTGATTTTCATTGGTTAATCATGTTTCATCTGCATTTGACTTGTTTAAACCAACATTACATATTATGTATTTGTGAATTTATTTTTATTTAAATAGATGTCAACAGTGCAGTAACAGGCTTTGTTTTTAATACAGTTTTCCTTCCTGCATTGCAGATTATATTCCTCTTTTATGTTTTTCAACAGGAATTAAATTTTCAAATCATATGTAATTTTCTCTATTTTACAAGTTTCTGTAAAATTACTGCAAAATTTTACTACTCCAAAAGTAGTTAAAATACATATGGTAAAGTGTTATATCCAACAAACAAAAGATATGTAATGAAAATTTTTTTCTACCATATATTGTGAAGTTATGATAAAAAAATAAGCTATCATTTTTCATAATAAAACAAATACCGAATTGTATGAAAAACTAATTAAGAAAATTAGAATGTTACCTGGTGGGTTTATTTTAATTTCTCCCTTTATTTCTTGACAGGGAGAAAAATGAAGCCAGATGGTTTATAAAAAAAAAAGAACAAGAATAAAAATTGATGCATAAAGATTAAAACAAAGATGTTCCAAATTGACATTATAAAAACTTGTCAAAATGAAGCCAGACAGTTTAAACATTCTACGGCAAAGATTTACAAAATGTGGCTCAGCTTTGATGGTGTCAAAAATCAGTCAAATTTGAATTACAAATGGGTTCAGTTTGATTGGATAATGAGGCTTGAGTTTTAACCAATGCATATAAAAATTATAGGCCTCCTAAAGAGTTTCTTTTTTTTTTTGAGCTGTTATAAAATAAAATAAGACATATCTCGGCTGATTTACAGGCAAATACTCAAGAGCGAGAACCAGATGTAAATGGGACAAAGCCCGTCACAAAATGACCATTATCTTTCTTCACAAATGTTCCCGACACACGTGTTCCGGTCGAAAAATAAAATAATATTTAAAGTGCTCTATTTTTCGTCCAATAAAAATGCTTCCCTCCTAATTATACTCGCTTCGAGCCTGTTAAGCCATAAAAAAACACTATAAAAGGGGTCACACAGAAGTTCAACGGCAGTCCACAGGTGGCTGCAAAACAGACCGTCACTGTCAGGCCGAGCGATCAGCAGCAGGAGAGCATCAACCACCGTCAACATGTGTGAACTACTATGAGAGATCGACCTAGATCCGAAACCAGCTTATGAACTTTACCACAAGGTAGCTGTCCCAAACCCACATGTTCCTGTTCAAATAAACCACGTAAATCTATTTCTGCTGTTGTCATATTTCTTTCTTGCAACCATACGCTTGTCTATAACAGAGCTGATTTTGATCCAACTGTTTGCTATATAAGAGGGAAAATATTGACTGAAAAGTCAGAAAGGATTAGATTTCATCATATAATAGCACAATCTGTGATCTGGAATCAGAAAGGAACAAATCATTCAGGTTGAGAAAAGATTGATTGTATGAGGTGTGTAAAGTCTGTTGTTGCTGCTGAAAGGATTGACTATCTGGTATGTATAGCCAGCCATCTGAGAGAAAAGATTCAACCACCCTAACAATAAAACAGTGACCTGGGATGATAAAAGACTGTTTCTGTGACTACTACTATTACTATTGTTGAAGAAGAAGAAGAATCCCTAAAATCCTACAAGAATTCGCTTAACTAAGAATGTCTTTTCTAAACCTGCACAAGTTTATTTTATATTTGAGAACACCTGTTCCAAGATATTTTGTTTAAAGGACCCAGAAAAACAGTTTCACCCAAAGTATGTCAACTTTTTTTAATCCCTTATGACTTTCAACCTTTGGTGTTTGACTTTCAACCTTTGGTGTTTGACTTTCAATCTTTGGTGTTTGACTTTCAACCTTTGACATTTTGCATTGTGAACTTTTTGGTGTAAATAAATTTCTTTTATTGCTAAGAAATTGATTTATATGCTTTTATGTTTTCTAAGAGATACCAAATTTGTATTTAGAATTAACTAATAATCTGTCTTGATAGTTTGAAGTGTGCAAGGGAAATTTTGTGCAAGGCCTGTGTTACATTTTATAAAAATATTTTGTCTTTTTAACAATCGTTTGTTTCTTTGTAAAATTAACTCATTATAAGATCCTTTTTGTCTTTTTCGTAAAGCACCTCGAAAAGTAAGAATAATAGATTTAAAATCTTCCTCTGCCTCCTCATTTAAAACTCATTTCATCTCTTTTTTTTCTTTTTTTTCTTTTATGGAGACCAGTCAAAAATTAGGGTTGTAGATTAGAGTAATGATCATATTTTTTTCTTTTTTTTTTTAAAGAAAATGCAAATAATACAAGCATTTCAAAAATAATTTAATTCATATGTGAATAAGTCTTGAAAATTTCATTAAAACTCAACAATTATTTGATTTTTGCAAGAATTTCCAAATCAGTGTGTTTTTCATCACAAAAAATCACTAAAATTTCCCATAATAATTTATGGTCCTCAATTGACACCAGAGAAAAAAGACATTTAACCAGAATTTCAAAGGTTCTAAAAAGGATTAAAAATATTAATTTTTACATTAAAAAATCCTTTGGCCTTTCCTCTTAATAATAACACAAACATTTTGATGATATAACTTTGTTTTATTAAGTTTGAGGTATTTTTTGATCATATCTTACTTTTTAGTGAATCTTTGGCAGTAAATATATGTTATAAAATATTGTTGAACAGGATTCAAGAAGATAAAAGATGGCGAATGACATTGCATTTAAAATTTTTGAAGATTGTAGTTATCAGGGAAGCAAGTAAACAAAAGGTTAGTTGGAAGTCCTCCTCTGTAGTTTCTGGAGAACTCTCTGACCCCTCAAATTATCACCCTATTAGTATCTTACTGCTTTTCAGCAAATTATTTGAGGGTCTAAACCAATGATTTCCCAATGTAGGGTGCAGTAATATTCTGGTGAGGCATGCGAAGGATGTGCACCCTTTGAATTACTATACCAACAGAATAAGGGGGCAATTTGAAAATGAGTTATTAACAATGAATTGTTTTCTACTGAGTCTGAGGCAGAGTGTTAATGTTAGTGTGAGTTAATACATATGATGCATATACATAAAAATATTTTGTGTGTATGTACATACATGTATAATTGGTATACAGGGTATTTCCCATCTCCCCACACTCGGGTATCTCAGTCAACAAAGGAGAGGGCATGATGTATGTCGCTGGAAGAGCCCATATTTTGCCGACCAATCAGCGCATGTGAGCATTCAGCTTGCTTCCTTCATGTGAATTGTAGTAAAATTTTGAATATGTAAAAAATAAATATTATTGGGGGGCACCAGAATTTTAGAAATACCAAAGAAGGGCATGGCCCAAAATTGGTTGGGAACCACTGGTCTATGCAAAGCTGAAGTAGTTAAGCATCTTACTTCTCACAACCTCCTCTTGGACAAACAATATGGCTTCTGTTTCACCAGTTCTACCACTTATATGTTAACACCCATCACTGAATATGTATATCAAGCTCTTGATAATAATGGTGAAACTTGAGCTGTGGCTATAGATATCTCAAAGGCATTTGACAGGGTTTTGACAGACTGGTCTTCTACACAAGGTTGTGGTATTACAGGGTGGTTATTTGATTTAATCCATTTGTTCCTATCAAATCATGAAATGAAGGTCTTTTTGAATGGGCTCACTTCCAGGCCCTTTCACACAAATGTGAGTGTCCCCCAAAGCTCTATCCTGAGTCCTATGTTGTTTCTACTCTTCATCAATGGTCTTCCTGATGTCATCTGTTCCCAAGTAGGCATTTATGCAGATGATACTACCATTTACTGTTGTCTCAATAACAAATCCATCAGAGCTGACAAAGTAAACCTGCTGCTGCTCTTGAAAAGGACCTCTAATCAGCTTTAGTGAGAGCAATCAAGCAGAGTCATAGCTGTCTACACTTACTAAAGCTTTTTTCTTTTGTTACAGCTGTTGCTGAAGACTTGCTGTCATTTGTCTGTCTTTCTTTATTATTAGCTCCTATATTATATTTATTTCTATGCTAGGCCTACTAAGGAGGTCCTCATAGCCTAGCATATGCCCTGTAGGTTATTCAGATCGACATACACCTGATGAAGTCCAGAAAGAACAATAGTTGAAACACTGTGATAACAACAACAACAACGATAAGGATAGTAGTCTGCATGTAATTAGTGTAAATAACAATTAGTATATTAGTCTGACTGTAAATAATTTAAATGCAAACTATTTTTTCATAATATTTTGGAATTTATGATATGGAACATTGTTAATTACTATCAATTGTTGTTTAGTATCTACTGGGCTAACTTCACAATATACTTTGCTCTTAGTGTCCTTCAGAGAAAACAGGTGCTGGGTTGACCTGAGGGATGACCTCCTGTCCAGGGGTGGGGATCTGAAACTCAACTGATGTTGATGGCTGACCCAGATGAGTCCTCATGGTCAGCTCAGCTGCATCGAGACAGTATATATATATATATATATATATATATATATATATATAAAAGTGAACATAAAGTCAACATAGAGGTGACAGTCTGTTTCATGCTATATGCAATCATCAGGCCATGTGTGCTGTTATTTTAAAACTATTTATACATATACGGGTCAGTGGTGTATTGTGGGTAGTCTATTATGGCGGTTATTTTACCGGAAGTCGTTTATTTATTTATTTGTGTTAAATTATTTTGCTTGTTTTAATTTAATTTAAATTAAATTTTTAATTTAAATTAAATTTTTAATTTAAATTAAATTTTTAATTTAAATTAAATTAAAGCAAGCAAAATAATTTAAATTAAATTAAAACAAGCAAAATAATTTAACGCAAATAAATAAATAAACGACTTAACCACCATAATAGACTACCCACAATGCACCACTGACCCATATATGTATAAATAGCCGAGAAAAATAACAGCACACATGGCCTGACGATTACATATAGCATGAAAGTGTTGACTTCTATGTTCACTTTTATAATTACACACGCTCTATCTCTGATATCGAGCACTTTATCCCATAAATATTGTACACCTTAAGACTATATTTCTTCATATATATATATATATATATATATATATATATATATATATATATATATATATATATATATAGACACCCAACCTGGAGGAGATTAATTGATTTTTGTTTTACAGCTTATCAACCTTTTGCAGGTTATTTAAAGCTAGAAAATATTTTTAGATTGAAAGAATATTTTGGAGATAATAATGATTTACTGATACAAGTCCTACTAATTAACCCATAGTTGGGGGAAGAAGAAGTGGATTCATACCTTTCCCAAAGGTATTTGCATGTAAATAAATATAAAGAACCTGAATAGAATTGGGTCTTGGCTGTCCAATTTCCCATTCCGAGTCATTATCCATTACACCACTCCCCGCACATGCAAGCTTACAGCAACTGGTATTTCCATATAGGTACTGACCAGGCTCGACATTGCTTAACTTTGGTGATCTTGTGAGAACTGATGTTTCAATGTTCACAGAGGAGAAAAGATATTCTCTTACATTAACATGAAAAGAGTCCATGTATGGAGAATGCTTCAAAGCCACACATCCATTGGCTGACAGTGATTGATAAGATCCAGAGTCTTTTTTTAATCAGAATCACCCCAAGCAAGGCAGTAATGTCACAAAAACACAAGGGGTTACAGGATGTGGAAGAATTAGGAACAGAAACATTAATGATGAGCAGAAAGAGAAGAGAGTAATTAGGTGGAGAGTAGATAGTGATTGACATTGCATTTAAATTTTTGCAAATTAAAGCTTGCTGGAAAACATGGATCCAGAAGAGAGTTCCACAAGTGAGAAGTGTGAGAGAAGAAAATGTTAGCATAAAATTTACAGTTACATCTAGCAAGCTTAACTGTAAATTGATGAGATCTCTTAATGCATTTAAATTAAAAAAGTCTAGGTACTATAGCAAAGATTGCATCCAAACAATTACCATGAAATTATTTATAGAAAAGACATAGAAAGGCAACCTTATGTCGGTAGGAAAGTGACTGGAGCTGAGCCACCAGATCAGAACAAATAATATTGCAGATTCTTCTTTGGATCTTATCAAGGAGCTCAAGGTAGAGAGTTGAATAAAATATAATGTTGCATATGCAAAACTAGATGTTATGTTCTTATTAGTAATTAGCAGTAGAGCCCGGCATTGCCCGGGGATGTAACAGTAAGAGATAGATCAAGTATTGACCATCATAAAGACTGAAAAATAAAATTGACAAAGATTATTGTTTAAGGTTGACGGACATGCATGTCTTAATTAGTTTTTTTTTTTACGAATTGGTCAAACCCAAACTGAAACAAAACATTGTTTTCAATCGTTATGAATCTATCGATTGAATAGAAATTTATTATAAACAATTGTCTTTTAAATGGAATTTTTAAAGCATTCTGAATGTAAAAATGAAGAAAAAAGTGTGCAAGACAATAAGAAACACTACCTACCAAAAAAAAGTGAAGTTTTGTTGAAATCGGTTGAAAAATTTAGGAAATCCGATCCCATATATAAATGAACACACACACACACACAACCTGGGTTTTATAATAAGTATAACTCGATATGAGTTGTCCCCCTTTCATTCTCGCGATGCCTCTTAATCGTGTTTTCAAATTGATTTCGTGCAAAAACAATTGTGTTTTTCCAATTTTTGGCACTGTCAGAACTACTGCAAGGTAATTTTATATATATAGTCCTGTGAAGTTTTGTTGAAATCGGTTGAAAAATGTAGGAAATCCGATCCAATATATAAACGTACAGACACACACACACACACACAACCTCGGTTTTATAATAAGTATGATTTACTATGGCAACATTACATTTGACTTCTTTTTTATTTCTGGATTTTTTTTTATTTCGAGTTGATCAGTCTACATCCAGAGTTGATTGAATATCTTGCTTCTTATTTCTTATCACTACTGCTCATGAAGCAAGCATTTGTATGGACATCAATGGAAAATAAGAGACCATAGAATATGATGTGGATTTTTCTCAGAAAGAAAGACAATTACAATGTATTGACAATACTTTTATTTAAATTAAAAAAACAAAACAAGTTCTTTGCAAGAAGAACAAAATGAATGTAAAATTTCATTGAAAGATCTTTTGGCAGCCTTGAACCTTCATGCCTGCAAAAAAAAAAAATAAAAGTGCCAAAAGGATGGTTTTTCCTTTGACACCACTATTATCTTACTTACCTTCACTCATCAGCAATGTTTATTTTTTTTAAAAAGCAATGATTAGAATTTTAACAAAACCGAAACATATGAAAGTGAATTTATACATTTTCTTTGTTCATGAGAATTGACAACAAAAATAAATATTATTTATTTAGTAGATTGTTTTATTGGAATATTTGGCAAAACATTGGCTAATTGCCAATTGAATTGAACTTTATAAAATAAGGATTTCCTTGTAGGTGATTAGCATATTTTAATAATTTGGCAAATGTTTATATAGTTATAAATAAAAAAAAATGTTTTCATATTTATTTCTTTATAAATTGGTAAATGATAAATATTGCATTGCATTAATTTTAATTATATTAGTTTTTAGAATGCAAATTTAAAATTATTCTTGCAAATAAAAGCATCCTTTTGATACTTGTTTTTTTTGCAGGCACAAAGGCCCAAGTTTGCCAATCTTTTGATGTGATTATATGACTTGAATATATAGGAAAGAAAAAAAAACAACAAATCAACAATTGAGGCTTCTTTTACAATATATTCTTTCTTCTTAGGTAAATATAAATGGATCTCAAAAGTATTAGTTTTAAAAATACATCCCTTTATATATTTTTGTGTGTGATAAAGTCACTTTACTTTTAGGCACTACAAATCAAAGTGTAATGTAATACTTTTGACAACTTTAAAAGAGAGAGGAACATTTTAATTGAATATTAGTATATGAATAAATAAAGTTGTAGAAATCTTCTAAAATTGATTTTAATCATCATAGAGATACATTTTTATTTTTTGTCTGATAGGTTTGACAAAGTAAAACTAGCAGCTTCTCTTGAAAATGACCACCAATCAGTTGTTAACTGGGACAAGAAATGGCTTGTAAATATTAATGCCTCCAAAATGAAACTTTTCCTTCAATCATTATAGAGAACCATTTTTACCTTCCATCAGCATGGCTGATGTCAGTTTTCAGGAGAATAACTCATTGTGCTTTCTTGGTTACATGTTTTCTACTGACAGAAAGTGACTATATTGAATCAGTTACTAGGTCTGCTGTGAAGAAGGTTGGCTCACTGTATTGTGCCAGATAATTTTTCAGAATCCATCTTGCACAGTTATAAATTTACTATTTGTCAGTGCATTGAATATTGCTAACATATCTGGTCTGGTGCTCTGGCTATATATCTTGAGATTCTCGACAAAATCAAAAGAAAGATCTGTAATGTTATTGGCCCTGACCTGGCATCTCGACTTCTGTTACTGTCTCACTGCCATGATGTGGTTTCCTTTTGTCTTTTATTTGCCTTGCTCAGGGTGAAATGATTAAGAAAAGTTAACATATAGCAACATTAGTATGAGTAATAATTCTTTAACTCAAGCTTATATACTGTCTTAAAAAAATCTTCCAAAGTTTATTATCTATAACTGTCTTTGCCATTTATGTGTCTTTTTTTTTCTTTTTTTTTTTTTGGTTTTAAAATTTCTGAAGTGTATCCCACCCTCACTTTATTCACATTGGGATTTGGGCACCTTTAGCAAGTCCAATTGATTGTAGTGCAGTTCTGATGTGGGGATAGACATTCGGATCTTCAATAGTCACAGGAATCTGTAAATAAAAAAAAGCAAAAGTATGATTTTACAAGTATTTAAGTATACAATCAATGCCGTGAATGTGCAACTAGAATACTGCCTGGTCACAAGAATAACTTATTTTATTATAAACAAACAATATAAATATGTAGTGAAAAACAATTTTGATGCTTCAAGCATGAAAATTAAGAATTCACCATAATCATATAACCCCAGCACTTTAGATTGATAACTTTTAATTTTTAAATACTAAAATGTGAATGACACAAGGATAATATTATCTCCTTCCTTTTTATGCATCGTTCTGCACTTATCACAGTTTTGTTTACTTTAAGTCATTACCAGTAACAAACAATGTATAAGTGGAAATGTTCAGCCTTTATTTAAATGTTTCAAAAGAATGGTTTTTAACACTACTATTACTGTATACAACTGAGATTTAATTTGCAATTCTTATTTACAAGATTATAAAAGTATGTGAACTAAGTATAATGCGGTTATTTATTATTTAGCATTTTATAAAAATTTTGTTGTAATGGAATGTCCCACACTCCCTATCGCTTATGTGGGCTGACTATATCAGTAGCTATATATAGTGAGCACAGGATATACCTGGGGGCTTACTTCGGGAATTAGTTGAAGATTTGTCTCCAGCTGTGCTGCTTCAGGCAGAGAGGAACCAAGACAAAGCTATGCCGAAGGGAAGAGTCTCATCTGGGATGGTAGACAACTATCCCACCCTGTGTATACAGGGTCTGTGGAGAATTTTTGCCCAAGCCTATGGGCTCGGTTTTGCCCCGCATTAAAAAACATCCACATCCTGCCTCACAGGGAGGAAAAATGCCACATCCTGCCTCACAGGGAGGTAAGGTAATTAATTGGAGATTCATCTCCAGCTGTCTGTGCTGGTCAAACTCTCTGCCTGGAGGCAGAGAGTATCTCCAGATGAGGCTATGTCAAAGGGCAGAATCTCTTCTTGGGAAACAGCTACCCAACCCCGTTTTATATGCAGAATTTTTGGCTGAGCCTATAGATTCGGATACCCAACATTAAATTTGACCTTGTGCCACATCTGACCATGTGGGGCAGTTGGTAGATATCCTTGCTTCAGGAATTACTAGCCTGCTACCTGATTCCCTGTCTTTTAGTAGTTTATTCTTTTTTATAATAAACCTCTCTTGTTTCATCTACATGTGTGTTGCTGTTCCTTCACTTGAATACTACCTTTGCTCGTTTGTAACCTCTTTAACAATACAACAGATTTATTATCATTTTAAAAGAAATATATTTGAAAAGAAATCTTTTTATTCAAAAAATTACAAAATTATCAAAATATGTGAACCAACTACAATGCAATATTTATTATTTACCATTTTATAAATAATAATAATATGGTTGGCTGAACATATCCGAATATGCCTGTCTGTATAGGATGGGCAGTAAATCCCTGTTTCAGATGCCAGCTCAGGCACATTTGTATTTGTTCAACATCAACAGAGCCCACCTGTGGTTTATACTGCAACTATGCTGAGTGAACCTTAGTTACAGTTCCTGGGAATGAGGACATTACATGATGGGAGCAACAGTCTAAACAAAACCAGTATGCTCAAACCCTCGGTCACAATGTCTTGTGAATCTGTGCTAGCAGAACCATTGACTGCTCTCAAATAGTTCCATCTATCAATTCACTTAAGTAAACCCATGGTATGGTTTCCAGGCACTTTCCAAAGGTGCTGCACACTCCCCAAGCCAATAACATCAAGAAGTCACTTTCCTGACAAATCAATTATGGTGAGATTTGAACCTGGACCGCATAGTCAGAAAGCAAACATTCTAACCACTCAGCCAGGAATAATTAACTATGAAAACAAGTTTGTTTTTTTTTATTTATAATTTTATAAAAATATCTATGAACTATAGAACAAGAAAATTTAAATAAACATGATTTTTCTGGACATTATAAATTTTCTTTTCAAATTATTTTATATCTAAGATTACTATTTGTTTTAATTTTTCAATTTTTTTTATAATCATCCTCTAGGATAATAGACAGAAACCCATAGCCTGAAATGCCAGAAATTATAAGTAACATGCCTTCTTACACATTTTTGAAACACATAATTTTGAAAAATTTTTAATTGTTGCTAATTTTTCTAGAAATGTCTAGAAAATCTACCAGTACATTATTTATGGTCAGTCAAATGCTGACAGAGGAAGAAATCTTAAATGAAGAGTGGACACTAAACACCTTGACAAAAGCAATTGGTGAAGCTGGCAAATTGTGTTTTTTGGAATGGTTAGCAAAACACCGATTAATTGCCAATCGATTTGAACTTTATAAAATAGTAAATAATAAAAATTTCATTATAGTTGGTTCACATATTTTTATAATTTAGTAAATTTTTATAAATCTGTGAAAAAAAAATTGTTTTTGTATTTATTTCTTTATGAACTGGTAAATGATAAATATTGCATTATATTAGTTGAGTCATATATTTTTGCAACAGTATATTTATTTATTTTTACCTAATGGCCTAAATGCTTGAAAAACCTGACTAGAGAAAAATTCAGGCCGGTAGATGAAAATAAATATACTGTTTAATAAATAAATGGGATGCCTACTCAAATGCAAGTATCTACTAAAAATAAAATTTAAAGTGGTACAAATCTGTCGGATTAATAGAACTCCATTCTAAAAATTCTCTCTGTTTATTTTTGGATACAAAACTGTGCAGATATGACAATCTTTGAGAAGTTTATGATGGGAGAAATTTCACTGGAAAGCATGAAATTCACTTTGCCTAACCATATGTTCTTTCATGGCCAAGTTGTAAGGCCTACTGGACTAAACAGTGGCTCCCTCTTCCTTGAGGAATAAAGGTTTGATTCCAGCCAAAGGTTGCATATTTTATTTAGTAAGGTTTCTTGAACATTCAGGCCAGTAGGTGAAAATAAATGCAAAATATACTGTTTAATAAATAAACGGAGTGTCTACTTAAATATGAGTATCCACTAAAAATAACATTTAAAGTGATACAAATCTGTTGGATTAATAAAAATCCATTCTAAAACTTCTCAATGTTGCAAATATAAAATTATTCTTGTAAATAAACAATTTAATAAATAAATAATTTTTAATATTTTTGTTATAATTTCTCATGAACAAAAAATATATATAAATCCATTTTCAAATGATCGGGTTTTATTAAAATTCTAATAATCACTTTTTTAAAACAATAAACATTTCCAAAGGACTCAAAAGTGTCTACAGTAGTAACATTGTCAAGGGAAAAACCGTCCTTTTGACGTACCATTTTTTGCAAGTATAAAATTTAAACTTTACCTCATAAGTTTTACTCAATGCTAAGCTTTAAGATGAGTTATGTCCCTTGACTAAATGATATGTTTGTTTGCCCTTGTCACTCAGAAATATACGAAGGAAGAAACATATTTTTTCATGGGTTTGTAACAAAAAGTGGTGTTATAAAATAAAATGACATATCTCGGCTGATTTACAGGCAAATACTCAAGAGCGAGAACCGGATGTGAACAGGACAAAGCCCCGTCACAAAATGACCATTATCTTTCTTCACAAATGTTTCCGACACACGTGTTCCGGTCGAAAAATAAAATAATATTTAAAGTGCTCTATTTTTCGTCCAATAAAAATGCTTCCCTCCTAATTATACTCGCTTCGTTTCTTGAGCCTGTTAAGCCATAAAAAAACGCTATAAAAGGGGTCACAGGGAAGTTCAGCGGCAGTCAACAGGTGGCCACAAAGGAGACCGGTCACGTTTAGCAGCTGTCAGCAGGAGAGCGTCAACCACCGTCAACATGTGTGAACTACTATGAGAGATCGACCTAGATCCGAAAGCCAGCTTATGAACTTTACCACACCAAGGTAGCTGTCCTAAACCCTTACGTTCCTGTTAAAAAAAAACCACGTAAATCTATTTCTACTATTGTCGTATTTCTTTCTTGCAACCATACGCTTGTCTATAACAGTGGGTACCAATTATAATGACATTTGGTTGAATGTCTTAACAAAAATAAGTCAATTCAACACATAGATGGTTTTTATATATATTTATATACTGAACTAGGTGTAACATAACTTCTATGCTAATAGTTTCTTCTCTTGCACTTCTCACTTGTGGAACTATTTTTCAGCTCCAAGAGGATGTTTTCTTGATCACTACAATCTTAACCTGTTCAAGTCTAGGGTTAACTGTTATCTTTCCCACATATCTGCATAAACTGTGCTTCTTACTTTGTAACCCTTTACCTTATGCCTTGTACAGGATAAACTTCACTGTAAAAACAACAAAAAAATAAGTATCCAAAGACAACATTGGCCTGGCAATTTCCATTTCAAAAGGAAATATTATCAGTAAGACCCTCTAAATTTTTGTCAGTTCATATTAATTTTTTTTATCCATATTATAATTTCTCTATCTGGGACAAACAATGATAGGTATATACATATTTGTACATAATTTCTTGTATGATATAGCATACTAGGCCACATAATGAGGAAACTTGGCTTGCAATATTTGATACTCAGAGGATGATTTATTGAAGGCAAGATGGACAGAAGAAAGCAAAGCATAACCTACTTAATGAGATTGAGTATATGATGATGGAACAATGTTTAGGAGAAATAATAAAGAAAACAAAATTTATTAAGAGCTACAACAGACAGAGAATTATGGAGAGTCATGATCGCCAATGACCTGAAAGGAAATGGCATATAGAAGAAGAAGAGAATCTCTTTGAGATCAGTGTATATTTGCCATTCATTTCTTTCAACTGTTCTGGTTCTTTCTTCCATTGAGTTAAGGTGTCAGTATATCATGGATATATAATACTAATGCCTATAATGGGAAACTAGAAATATTCTCTTTATTTAAATATCCCTATTAACCATTGATGTAAATTAATCGGTAAAGAGGATTTCTTACCTGGAATGGTTTTCCAGCAGCCATGGCAGCTATTGTATTTCTGGCAATTTTTCCAGATCTGGTTTTTGGTAGTCCAGGAACAACAATGGCTTGCTTGAAACATGCAACTGGTCCAATGCTGTTTCGTACTGTTTCTATAATGTCACTTATCACTTCATCATTATCTTTTTTAACACCTGTAAGAAAGTATCAAGAATTTAATTAGAATTATCAATAGATTCTCTGAGATGTAATGTTACTGCTCTGTATTTTGTATTTCTATTCTCATTTACAATGGGCCATATTTAAAATTTGATCCAAGTGCAAATATAAAAAGAAGACAATATCTTCCAAGAGAATTGCTAATTATTTTTAGGTCAGAAACCTTTCTTTTATGAAATGGGATTTTCTTTATATTTTTTCAATCCAACATTAGTCGTTAATCTTGTGTATCATATTCTACCTCTCTCCTTACTGCTTAGGTACTTATATCTATATCTATAATTCTCAAAAATGTGGGGGGGGGATCAGATATTGTTTTTGTGTTTCCACAGTTTTCATCTGATTTCAATGAAATTTTTTGTTTGATAGATAATTCTTCAGCGCCAGTTTTGAGTCCAAATTACACATTCCACTTCTCTTGGCCAAGCTTTTAATCTCTCTCAAGTGAGATTACCTTTTCTATTGCATAAAGCCTACTATTACAGTTTTAAGGCATTGCTATCATTATTGTTTATAGCTGTTTCTAATTTAAATTTTTTTATTGTCCTGCTAGATTTTGCATTGCATTCACCATAGTAATAAATAAGCTTGCTTTTTTGTTACTCAACATTTATTTTTCCAACCTTTCCTAAAGTTATTTGAGCTTAGTGATCCCTGTAGCTTTACAGCGTTCTCTTCTGGTATTTGCCCGCACATTCCATTTGACAATTCATAGTTGCCTAAGACAAGCCACCAAAGAAAAGAATTTGCCTAGGTCAGAAAACTGCTGCCCCCAGGTCCACCATATGAATAAGAGATAATGAATCATCTTTAGAATGTTCAGTTTGCCTGTCTCAAAATGCCTTTTGGAATGCTTCAATCAGAGCCACTGAGTCTGAAGATCAACATAGCCATCAGCTTTTCAGAAGAGCATAGGTGAATGCTTCTGTATGCAAGGCTGAATATGATGCTCAAAGGGCTCAACGGTTGAGAAGAAATACCTTTTTAACTACTGCTGCGCGTGAGGCTGAAACAAGATTGAGATCGCAAAAACGCCCCTTTTCAGGGACACTCCCCATTCAAATTGTTACCCCCCCCATTTGGGGATGTGCCTCAGTTGCACCCAATTGTTGTTACTAATATTGATTTTCAGGTGGGCTGACTTTAAACTTAAACTGCTCTAATTGAACAGTAAAAATTCCCACTAATGAAAGACCCGGTTGAAGACGGGTTATACTGCTAGTAGTCTCTATGCCTTAGCTATGATAATTACACAGTCATTTACATATCACAACACTTTCAAACCTGGCCAAAAAACTTTTCTTTATTATACTTCTTAAGTTCTTGAACATTTCTTAAACACTTGCATTGTTTGACTTGTGATGTTTAGGCAAATATTTCATCAGCCTTGTGGAGAAAAGTTTTATGTAACTCTTATTATAAGTTACAAGTACAAATCTATGCAAAATATGGATAATGGTGTAGTGAGTTTATGCCACAATAACAGCAGGAGACACAGCTAATTGGCTGTAGTGGATATATGTAGTAGCAGCTGACTGACACTTAAAAATCTATGCTTTTGAAAATAAACATTTTTCCTATTCCTTTGTGTAGGATCACAGGACTAAGTGGGAAAGCATTCCTCTCCAGCCAGTCAGCAATAAAAGTTTTTTTTGTTAAAAAATGTAGACATTTGAACACAAACACTGTTGTTAATAAAAGGTGTAACTTTTCCACAGCCAAACTTTTATTATTTATGGAATAAATTTCTCATGTAATTGCTTTCGTTCTGTATCATTTGCTTGAAAACATTTTTGATAGCATTGTAGAACCTTAATAAACATAGTATCACTAGTAGCCCTGAAGGTATAAAAACAAGCAAACACTTAACTAAAATTAAATTAAAGCCTTCTCTTTGTAAACAGAAGGACATTATATTAGGCCTCCAACTAATTACCATTTAAATATTTTTTTTCCTCTTCTTCCCACCAATAAACTTTGTCCATTGTTTTTTTTTCTATTATATCATTTACTCTATTTACCGTAATTTAGCTCTGTTGAGCGAGGTACGAAACCAGTTAGCTGGCCCGTTTTTCATTTTTACTTTTTATTACTTTGAGTGGTAATAATAAAACTAATTTTTGTCTGTTCATGACAGTGATAAAATTTTGTACCACCAAACATATCTTTAAATAGTAGTGACACAAAGGCCATCAACAGTGATAACAGTGACCAAAAATGAAATCAGCAGCAGCAGAGAATAATTCCCAACTACTACAATGTTGTAATTCAAGTTAATTTTCTCTTGTGAGTTTATCTCACTTGACAACATATAAATGTTTATTTTCTTCATGTATCTATTTTGACTATTATATTGTGTTATACCCCAAACAAATTCTCTGTCTCCTATGAATGATATATAATATTCCAGAACAAGCAAATGATCAAACCTTGTAAATTACAGGAGATAAAACCCTTTTTATTGATCTCAACCATGTCTCCATTGTTTTGTCATTGCCACTTTTTTTTCTCAAAGGTGACCAAACAGTTTTGCTGTGCCTAGGGATGGTGCATACTACTCTTGAAGCCTCTGATTGAAGAGCCCAAACTTGATTGGGGGTCTGAGAAATGCTTTGTTACCTTTGCTATCTTATCAACATTTGCTTTTTTCTACCTACAGTTATAAATGTCACAAATTAAACTAAGCACAACCAACTATTAAAGGATGAAAAATTTTCACAGATTTTGATATAATTCTGGGTTCTTTTATTTTGCTCATACTGCATCTTGAAAAAACACTGTATAATATTGAAAAAACACTGTATAAAATTGAAAAAACACTGTATAAAATTCACTATTTTTTATCCATAATGTTGAATGTGTTCAAATTATTCAACTTTTTAACAAGAAAAATCTCAAGTTGGTGTTAAAAAATGTCACAAAACATTGTTAATTTATTTAAGATGGAATGATCTATTAAGAGATGTCTCTAATTTGTAATTAGATACAATTTTGTATTTATTTTCAATTTTCCTAGTTGAATTGTTCACCAACATTGCATATGATCCATTATTGTAGATAATTAAGTTACAAAAAATTTGTATTTTATACAAATACTACTTTATGAAAAATGAGATATAGTAAAGTGTAGCGGGGCTGTATCATAGATTTAGTGGGGACTCAGGAGCCATTTGCATCAGCCCTGGCTGTGCCCTATAGAAAAAAAGATTAAAATTTTCTTAAAATCAGTTATTACTTAAAAAAATAACACAAAAAGAGATCTTTATTTATTGATCTAATATTGATTACCTGTCTTTAGTACACAAAGACCTAAAGGTATCTGACCCTTAAGTTGGTCTGGCACTCCAATAACCACTGCATCAGCTACATCACTTATTTGCATAATAGCCTACAAAAAAAAAAAAAAAAATCAAAAAATTAAAAATTCTGTCTGATAGATTTTTTTGCACTGCTGAAATATTTTAAGATTTTTAATAGCCTTATTGTTATTTTTGATTAGATTAAAATTTTGTTTTGACTCATCTTTCTGGGAGATTATTTACAGATAGAAAAAGACATGTAAAAACTAAATTTTTATGACAGTTTGAAAATCATGGTGAAATAAAGTAGTTTTAGCAGAGGTCATATTAACTAAGTTTTAGCGGGGTAAAAAATTATAAATAAAATAATTTGTAGATAAAAGTGTTAACTGAAAGATAATGTTGAATGAAATTAAAATTTATTTTACTGATTATTTTCGTCATATTTTTCCATTACCAAAAAGATAAACCATCAATTAAAAAAAAATATTTTTTGAATATTTAAAGGAAAGTTGTCTCCCTTTACGATATTTTTTATTTTAATGACGAGAATTTGCTGAAAAGGGTTAATTCCCTTTATTCGTGTTAGGAAAAATTTAATGCGACAATAAAAGTTTCCAGCTGTTTTAAAATCACTACGATAAAAGAAAGAAATCCAGTTTAGATGACAACTTTTTAAAAAAATTTAAAGATAAATTTGTACAATTTGTTTATAGTAGAAATATATTTAATGAAATTTATTAATTTTCTAATACTGATGATATCTTCCATTCTCTTCCTTATTTCTTCCTTTCATGGAAAATATAACAACATTGATCCAGATTGATTTTTGTTAATACAACTAAATTTGTCAATATAAACGATTTTACCAAATATAATTCCTAAATTAAATTAAGATGGCTTTGTAGAATGCTGCTTTCTTAAGTGTTGGGGTTACCAATGTTGTATGCTAATCTAACGTCGGTGGATACCAATGTAATTGGTAACGGGTGTTTGGTTGAATAGATAAATGTGGCTGCGTGTTGAATAAGCATTTAACATTCATACATAATTTTTTAAATATCAAGGAAAAACAATGAAGAACCAATTTGTTTAAAGGAATAAACATATATATTAAAATCAACAATAAATACAAGGTAGTTGTATAATGTGTGAATAGGGAGGAAAAAGTAGTTTCCCTTTATCTGTTAGGAAATGTTTTTAAACAAGTTTTTCTGAGTATAAAGTTCAGAGTTTTCTGAATATAAAGTTCAGAGTTCTGTGTTAAGATTGAATGTATCTTCAGAAGATTGTTCAGTTGTGTGTTTGTAACTAACAGAATTGTTTCAACTTGGTTTGTTCACATAGAACTGATGTTGTATCAAATTCAGGTTCTGTTTCTGTGTGTGTGTGTACATGTGGAGTGAGTAGTCGAGATCTATTGTCTCTGCTCTGTACTCTACTGTGGTCTATTACTCTACTGTTTGATTTGGGAAAAGCATCCAAATTTATACTACTATATGTGGCTCCCAGCATGAACGCGGGATATATTTTTGAAGGTATATGAAAAATACTCGATTGGATGAAAAATGAACCAATCAGTGATTTTATAACAAAACTTGTTTGTGAGCAAACTGTAGGAAAAAATTCAGTATGGTGAAATGCGATCGATAAATTGTCTTATTATTTTTAGTATATATTAATCGACCAATCAAAGTTGAAGAAATGTAAGCGTGGCACTACAGCTTAAAGAAATGAATTTGTAATTGCTGTAAGAATAAATTATGAATTTTGTATTTTAAACCCTGATTAAATTTTTTAGTTTCTTTAAACATTAAAGTAGAAAGTGTTCAAATCTTTACCTCTTCCAAGGCTCCAGTGGATAATCGATGACCAGAAACGTTGATAACATCATCAGATCGAGAAAGCACAGAGATGTAACCCTGTTTATCCCGTAAACCAGAATCCATACTGTTGTAATAGCCCTGAAAAGGAAATTACATAATGATAGGAAATATTGAACAAAATATCTTGTAGTGTTTTATAAAAAACTAAAACATATCTTCAGTTTTGTACAAAACCATAGGACTTATTATAGAAAACAAAAATATACCACTTATTATTATTATTATTATTATTATTTCTGTTTAAATGATAAATAATAGGAACCAATCAATAAATAAGAAAAGAATAAAAGTATAAAATTATTGCTAAATATATGAGAACATTCTATGACTTCCTGCCTGCTGCCTTGAAATAGCTATGTATAGCCATAACTTCTATGCTAACAGTTTCTTCTCTCGCCCTTCTGGCTTGTGCAACTCTCTTCCTGATTCTTGCTTCCCAGACAACTTTGATCTTCAAAAGTTTAAATGCGATGTCAAGCATTATTTTCTGTCTTCTTAATTCCTGTGCTTTTATTGTTTTCTCACCTTAAAAGTGTTTTTTTTTTCTCATATTCTCTCACACTCAATAACCCCTTGCATCCTAATGGTTTTATTACCTTGCTCGGTGTGAAATGTTAAAAAAATGAATAAAAGTTAAATTGTAAAGAATAACATGTAAAGTAAGTCTCATTATTGTAAAAATTAGATGAAGGCCATGAAATCATATCTGGAGGAACCAATCAGAAACAAGATCTGTTTCTAACAAAGATATGATATCATGACCTCATAAACCAATCAATAGTCAGTCTTGTATACTGCATATGGGAGGACAAGAACAAATGAAAACAACAATGTACTGGTGGTGAGGTGGAAGTAAAAAGAGACAAGATACATAATTCTTTGAATTGTCATTATAAAGGATCAAGGCAGAATCTGTCTTTGTGGGTGAGGGAGGATGGGGTGTTGGTTGTGCACAGACATAGTGTTAAAGCTTGTGTCAGGTTGGTTGACCCATGGCTGCTGGTGAAGTCTATGACTGCCTGACTACTGCACTGAATTACATGAGCAGGTCCTTTTAAGCAGTTAAGGTGAATACATGGTTTATTGTTTTTTTGTCATGGTTTTGATTTAGTGACAACATTCATGATTAGTTCCTTTTTAATTGTATTTTATATTTTTTTTGGTGGTGGTGGAGGTGATTTGTTTTTGAGTCAGATGTGATGCTTAGAATCCATGCACACAGAATTACTTTTTTATTTTTAATTTTGCTTTGGTAGAGTTTACATCTAGTTGACAGGTTTTGATGTGGGGGTAGATCAAAATTATAGAGACTCACCCACCAGCATTCTTTTGTGTGTTTTTTTTTAATCATTTCACTCCCAAGCAAGGTAATAAAACCACTAAGATACAAGGGTGTAAATGAATATGATAAAAAGAAAACATTATTAAGGAAGGTGACCAATAAAAGAATGAGAATCAAAAAGACAGAAGATAACTGACATTTAAAATTTTTGATGATCAAAGCTGATTGGAAAGCAAGAATCTGGAAGAGAGTTCCATAAGCAAGAAAGATGAGAGAAGAAACTGTTAGCATAGAACTTATGGTTGCATCTAAACATTTTAACTGTAGAATGATGAGACCTTGCCATCAACCTAGTAGTACCTTTAAATTCATAACGTCTAGATATCAAAGTGCAAAGCTCATCAGAACAATTACCATGAAAATATTTATAGAAAAGGCACAGGGAAGCCACGTTACAGTGGTAGGAAAGTGACTGAAGCTGAGATACCAGGTGAGGACAAATAAGATTGCAGATTCTTCTTTGTATTTTATCAAATGTATAATGAATTTCATCTTTGAACATTTTAGAATCTTAAATCAATCACTCTTCCATTCTGCAAATATATAGCTAAGATGCCAGGTGACGACAAATAATATTGCAGATTCTTCTTTGTATTTTATCAAATGTTTAATGAATTTCATCTTTGGACATTTTAGAATCCTAAATCAATCACTCTTCCCTTCTGTAAATATATCAAGATATATAAAAAATTATTTTACTCATATGAACTCTCACTTTTGATTTAATGCTAATCCTTACACAAGGCTTTTGATATAGGCTTACCAGGAGGTAATCTGCACCCATACAATGAACATACCTATACTTAGACTTAGAATTCCATCTTGTAATGAAAAGAAGAGTAGTTTGACAGATAAGACATTTACTTACTATGACCATGATGGAGCTACTTAAGAGAAAGAGACCATCACAAAATAAGACAATTTCTGTCTGAATTTCTGGGGTGAAAAGTTCCCATTATTTACACTATTTAAGTATAGACTATTGTCCACATCTTTGTTGTTGTTATCAAAATGTTTCAGCTGCTGTGCCCTCCAGCTTTCATCAGGGGTATATCGATCTGGGTAACCTACAGAAAATTCTGAACAGAAGCCTTTATTTAATCTCATTCCACTGCTCTTGTCTAGGGATATGTTGTCTAGATTTAAATTTTAATACTGCTCATTTATTGCAAGCTCTGTTTTCACTGAGTCCAGCCCAGGTATTCAACTCACAATTACTGTATCATTAAATTTACAAACCAATGAATTAATCCACTAATCCACTAGTTTATTTTCAGGATGAATTTGGAATCATGGTGTTGAATTCAATTTGAAAGTTGAAGCTTGACATGATAAATAATAACACAAAATATTTTTTCCAATTAGTTACAATTTCAAATAACTGCAATTTTCAATAAACAATGCAAATTTAAAACATTTTGTCTTATACCCAGCAGTATTATGGTGTTATATACACTTTTATCTATTTTTTGTTTTTATAAATTATGATCTAAAAAATGATCTAACAAATCTTTTTCATTGAGTAGCTTTTTTTGTAATCTTTTACAATTTTTTTGCACAGTTTTACTTACCAACTACAGTAAAATAATTGCATATTTCGCTAGTGGTGATTCATAATTAGAATTCTGGTTTGAATATATTTTCTATTCAATGTATCTAATGCAAAAGATATCAACTTTATTTGGATTTATTATTGAAATAGTAAAATTTTGATGTCAGTTTCTAAGCAAAAACCTGTGAATGTTAGGTATTTCTGCATATTTTTTCAGACGGTCTTTAAAACTAAATGCTCAAAAATTGATAAAAGCTATGAACCTAATTTTTGGTAGCGATATTTATCATATAAAACTCCAGCTTTTATACTGAGTGCAATGTTTATTTTCTAAAAAAAGTGAAAAACCAACCTGCCCTATTTTCCCATAGGATAATCTACTTGGCTATTGTTTCATAGGCCAAAACGTGATAATATATACTGTACATATGAATACTAATTTGTATGTCCCAATCCTCATAAATATGTTGATCACTATTTTAAGAGGGGGTAATATGCTGTCTAAGTAATCCAACACTAGCAGTGGTTTACCTACTTCATGCTGCTAGCGAGTATTGTATTTTGTTGATGTTATAAAGATTACCATTTCATTTCCAACCTTCGTTTTGGTCATTCAGTAACTCTTTCTAGTTTACAACAGGTAACAATAACAAAGATGAAGATTGAATGTAAATAAGATATCAACTAGAGTTGTTGCAGGTAAAGGTTGTGTTCTCCAGAATAATTGGTTGTTTGGAGAAGGTAATCTTTTGACATAAAGGGTATTACTACTAAATTTGTCTGAGAATGGTGATGCTTGGTCATCAACAAATCACAGTCAATATGTGGCTGAAAAAAAATGATGATTTTCAGTGTTGGGGGTAGGTTAGTACTGGCAGTTTGGAGAGCACTATATGGTTTTGCAACCATTTAGGTTTTTCTACAGGAGCGTCCCATACACAAACATACATATGGGTAGGGCCAGAAATTGTCCAGTTGTATCCTCAGTTTTTCCATCTTGTTTTTTTTAATCATTTCTCCCCAAACAAGATGGGAATCCCACTAGTATGCAGACAGTTACAGAGAGTTAAGGTGAGAGAAAAAAGTGAGTATAAGGGGAATTGAGGAAAGGATAAAAGTTGAACAGGGTTCAAGAAGATGGCAATTGATGTTGCATTTAAATTTTCGAAGATTGTAGTTATCAGAGAAGCAAGGAAATGGAAGGTAGTTCCACAGACAGAAAGTGTGAGAAAAAATTGTTAGAGTAGAAGTGGCAGTTATATTTACCCAATTCAACAGTAAAAAGGTGGGACCTAGATGCCAATCCAGTAGCACACTTAAACTCATGTAGTCTGGGCACCAGGTAAAAAAGCTTGTCATAGCAGTTGCCATGAAAATATTTGTAAAAAGAACATAGGGAAGCCATGTCAAGTCGGTGAGAAAGTGAATTAAGTCAAAATGACAAGTCAGGATCGATTATATTGTGGATCCTTCTTTGGATATTGTCAAGAACTTTGAAGTGAGTAACAGAAGCACCAGAACAGATATGGCAACAGTATTCAATGCACGGATGAATGGTAGATTCTTAATTGTGCAAGATGTACTCTGATGAGAAAACTGGTGACCCAACTTTCCTTGCAGTATATGCAGCTATTCATTTGATGTAGTCATTCCACTTCAAGTCAGTTGAAAACATGAGGCCAAGAAGGTGCAGTGTGTCTAGCATCAGCTATGCTGATGGTGGGCAAGAAAGTTTCTCTATTGTGGTTAAATGAGAGCAGTTTCCTTTCGGATACATTAAAATTTACAGGCCATTTTCTGCTCCATTTAACCACAGATTCAAGATCCTTTTCAAAAACAGCAGTCAGGTTAACTTTGTCAACTCTGACAGAATTGCTATTGAGACAGAAGTAAATGATAGCATCATCAGCATAAATGCCAACTTGGGAACTGATGACATCAGGAAGATCATTGTTAAAGATGAGAAACAGATTAGGACTCAGGATAGAGCTTTGGGGGACACCCATGTTTGTGTGAAAGGATCTGAAAGTGAGCCCATTCAAAATGTCCTTCATTTCACAATTTGATAGGAATGACTGGATTAAATCAAACAATAGTCCATAGCCCTGGAGCTTACATAGAAGACCAGCATGCCAAACACTGTCAAATGCCTTCAAGATATCTAAATCCACAGTTCAAGCTTTGCAGTTATTATCATGAACTTGATATACATATTCAGTGATGGCCATTAGCACATTAGCAGTAGATCTGGCAAAACAGAAGCTATATTATTTGTCAGAGAGTAGGCTGTGAGAGGTAAGATGCTTAACCACTCAAACATTGATTAAAGCCTTGAATCTTTTCCCAAAAAGTGTAGGGCAATAATTAAAGATCAAGAATTAACCATGACCTGTCACATTTAACTGCCATCAAGGGGTTCTATTTTGAGAGGAGACAACAATTTGGAACCAGATTTAGATTATTCTTCCATTTTGGCGTCACAAATGGGGGTGGGGTGGGGTAATATATTTTGATTGATAAAGAATAAAGAAATGAAATTCTTACTGGATATTTTGAAAAATAAATTTCTTTGAATCCTTCATCATTTTCCCAGAGTGTTGAAAAGGCACCAGGAGGCAAGGGCAACCTGTTGATTAAAAAAGAAAAGAATACCAAAAAAATAAATAAATAAATAAAATGCAAAGATGAAAAAATTTTATCTTTAGCAAAAACAGGTAAATTTTAAGCCTGTAAATTCTTCCACAAACCATTCAATCCACCACCATCAACACCATCAACTTTCACACATTTACTGCATAGCTTCATCTACTGCAAGGAAAGTTGGTTCTATGTGTTGTGCCAAAAAAGTTTTTCTCACCTCAGTTGATCCTTCATTTCTATAAATCAACCATTTGCCCTTGCATGGAATACTGCTGCCATATATGGTCTGGAGCCCCCCCCGACAAAATGCAAAGATAGATATGCAATGTCATTGGTTTGGTCCTGATATGGCATTTCATCTACAGTCACTTTCTCACAGATGTGCCATCGCTTCCCGCTGTCTTTTCTACAAATACTTTCATGGTAACTGCTTTGACAAGCTACTTTCACTAGTTCCCAAACTGCATGGATTTAAGCATCTCAATCCCACCCTTTCACTGTTGAAACTGTTAAATGTAGCTGTTTCTTCTACTCCAATAGCTTCATGTCTTGCACTTCCTGTCTGTGGAACTCCCTTTCTCTTACTTGCATCCCTGATAGCTATAATCTTCATTTATTCAAATGCAATGTCAATCAACATCTTCATATACCTTTATCTAATTCCCTGTCCTTCTCTTCATCCTTTCCTCTATCATGCCTCTTTAATCTTGCTCCCACTCTCTGTAACCCCTTGCACGTTAGTGGCACTCCTGCCTTGCTTGGGGTTGTTATGGTAATTTACCCATGCATGCATGGACTCTCCCAGCTATAAATAGGAGCAGATACTGCCTTTTGGAGAGGGAAGTTTCCAGCTGTTAGCTCTGACAGTCGGACTGAACATTCTTGCTGTAACACACTTGTTTGTATATGTTTCTATTACTGTTTCTCTTAATATATTTGTTTAACTTAATTCCTCTCTTTGTGTCTTTATTTCTGGACCCTAACAAGGACAACAACAGGGGTGAAATGCTTAAAAAAACAAAAAAAAAACAAATGTACTGAGAGGCATGTTTGCTTTCCTTAAAGACAAAACCAGTAAACGTCAATTACACTATTTACATTTCAGACTAATATCCTTATCTATGTTTTTATTTTCACAATGTTTTGGCCATTGTGCCATACAGTCTTCTTCAGTTGTTTGTTAATCTAGATAACCTTTCGGGGGATCTTAAACTGAATATTTTATTTAATCTATGGGGGTAGATTGTTCTAGTTGTGCTGCCCATGTCTAAATGTGGCAGAGAGCAATGGTCATCTTTGAAATATTAATAACTATAGTAATATAGAATTTTATTTATAGATGAGAAAAATCATATGTGGTGAAGTTTGTGCCCAGAGAATCTGTGCTTCATCAGAATTATTAATATAAAATGTCAAAACAATAGTGTTTATATGAACTATGGAATACCATTTCAGAAGAGACTGTTCATTTAGTCATAAAGAGGAGAGGTCAGTAATCAGGTTGTATTCTAAGTTACCAACACCTCGGGTTTTTATTGCTACCACTGCATTTATTTAAGTGTGTGTTTGTGTGAAAACAAACAGTCGGAGTCAAAGTTGAAGTTGAAGTTGGAATTGGAATTGGAGCTGGGTGAAATAGGTTGACAAGAAGTCAACCAGAGAGAGAGAGATAGGCAGTGAGAGTGAAAGTGTCCACTTGCTGCTGTAATAAGGGAGGAAGTAAACTCAAGTTATCTGCAATATTGGCTTAATACTGCCAGTAAACCCCCTTATATGATGACAGTGAAATAATTATGGCAACTACAAAAAACAAAAAGGATGATCCTGAAAACTACTTTTCTCTTTTTTTTTTTTGCAATATTTGTTTTTTTTTATGGACTTTATTTCATATAGACTACTTTCTTGTAAAAGAAGCATTATTCTTTTTGTACCAATTTCTTCCTTATATACATATGCATAAATTTTTCTTTGGACTTGAATTGAATTGTTCATATTTGATTTTTCTGCTTGGCCTGATTCTCGACCTAACGAACTTGCAGGTAGACCAGCTGAATCTTCCGGGATCTATGATTTGTTAATTGTTCTTCAGGATCCAAAAAATCACAACGTGGTTGGAAAGTGGAATCAAATCAACATTGTGAACTGGAGACTTTGATTGAACCTGTAATACTGGACCAGCACAGGACCAACGGCCGGTCTTGTAGAGTACATCGATCCAGTGGGGTCAGGATAGGTGTTACATAAGGATATCTCATCTTTTTTTTTTTTATTTAGTTAGTTTTTGTTTCTGCTCAGTTATTAATAGTCTTATTTTCAAGGAGCCAAGCATGACAACAAGAGCTGAGCAGCAGAGGAAGCAATAAGAGTAATTAGATTTTGGGCTCCAAAATTCAAGCTGCAGGATTGTCCCATGGGACAATAACCAAGAGGATTAAAGTATTAGTTCTGGGTAGTTGCAAGTTCAGTCCTTGGACCTGGTAGTAAGGTCAGACACTACAGAACCAGGACTAGTAATACTCTCATCTTGTTCTTTTTTTTTTAGCCCTACTCATTGCTTACTATTTCCAGTGAGTCTAAATCTGAAGAAGGCTGCAGAGTACAACTGCCAAAATATGATAAAAACAAAGATCAGGACATTAGTCTGAATGTAAATAATGACAACTTCTCACAAAGAAATTGTCAATGACACTGTCTACAAAAGTAGGAATGTCCACTCAAACATGTGCTGCCATTAAATATAATGTTTATGATAATAAGAAATAATGTCATATTAAAAATCCATTAATTCCTTAGGAATTAGTTTATTTATATTTTGAGTACAAAAATAATGTGGGGGAGTACAAGTACAGCACCTGATATTGCCAAGTGATCACTCATTTAGTTACTGATCTCGCTTGATATTGCTTAAATTTGGTGATCATATAAGAATTAATGTTTCAATGTGAGCCTCATGAATGTGTGTGTGTGTATGCATATATATATAAAAGTGAACATTGAACTCAACACTCAGAGGTGACAGGCTCTTTCATGTTGGCCACAATTGTCAGGCAATCTAAAGACATTTTTTATGTTTATATGTTCTAATTGTCGGACTTTGTCCATTTCATAATATAGGTTAAAACAAAAACATGTTAAAAATTATATACCCAGAGAAAACGTGAAACAAAATTAAAAAAAAATAAAGAAGCTATGTATTAGCAGCCTGATCACCCCTTTTTGCTACTGAGATCAATTTCGTTTGATGGCCACCTGTTTAGAAAAAAACGGAATAATTATCTCAAATTATAGAAGATAAGGATGAACAACGAATAAAGAAACATTGTGTTAGTCCATCGCAAATATAATGCATTGTGTTATTAATGCTCACTATAAAATCTGGTATTAATTATAGAAATTAAAATAAATATTAATTGTAGGTTTCTTAAAAAAACAAAAACGAATTAATAAAAATAGTTTTTCTACCTATAACTCATGAAACATTTTATTCAGTGTGTGGTTATTAACATCTCTTTGATTGGTTGATAGATGACCAATAAACAGAGAGGGACGGGACGGGACTAATTTTGAACAGTGATTGGATCAGCAACGCTGAGAAAAAAAACAACAAAAAAAACGAAGGAAACAGACGAACTTTTTTCAAACGTCAGTTTTTGAGCCTCGCCGAGAACTTCGTAAGTCAAGATATTGCCATTTTTTGTCACAAAACGAATGAGAGAAAAAAATATATATATAAAAATAAAAAACAATTCCCGAAGAAGAGGGAAAGAACACCCCAAAATTAGCTGTTTTTGAAAAGAAGGAGGAAAAAAACTTAGAAAAAAAAAAAAAAAGTGTTAGAGAGGAACACTTTAGGAAAACAAACTGATGGGGGAAAATGTAAGTGCATTTCTGTCCCAACTTTTTAAAAAATCCTAAAAAATATTTATAATGTAACATGTTTTTTATATATATATATATATATATATATATATATATATATATATATATATATATATATATATATAAATTACTGAGAGAAACTGAGGTTAATTTCGGTACATTGTACAAGGTCACAAATATGGAGCACTCAGTGAGGATCGAACTTATTAGTTTTTCTATTGACCTTTTATAAATGAAAAACAGAGAGAGAGAGAGAGAGAGTAAGTTGCAACACATGTTGCTTAAAAATTTTAAAATTTACCTGCTTTCATATTTAGTGAATTAATTACACCATTTTGTTGGCGATTTCAATTTTGTACCTCACCCCACCAAAAATTAGCATAACATGACATGACATGACAATATATATATATATATATATATATATACACACACAAATTTGTACAAATTTGGTATGTGGAGTAGTACTGAACATTAAAGACAGAGCATTGTAGGCACCTACGAGATCGATAAAAAAATCAGCATGATTGAAAACCTGCTCCAAAATGAAAACAGTTTTATCGTCAAAAACTTTGTTAAAGAAGAAAGATCAGAGTATTTTTTTGATATTTAATTAAATTTTGTGTCCCTTTTTAGGACATTTCGAAATTTTTGATTAAAAAAAAATCTTTTTCTTGCGTCGGAGGTTGTATAAACTTTTAGCTTTTTTATTTTTAGCATTGCAAATTTTCGCCTCTATTTTTGCGGTGATAGACAATTTGAATTTTGGAAATTCTTGCAAAAATCAAATAATTATCGGATTTTAATGAAATTTTCAGGACTTATTCACAAACGAAAGAAATTATTTTTTGAAACAATTTTCATTAGAAAATCTTGGTAAAAGTATTTTTTATTACGTGTTTTCTCCATTGCTTAAATTTTATGAAAGCTTCGGTAAATCCATTGAGATAATTTTATTTTTTAGTGACTATTAGTTAAAAACAGAATTCTTAAATTCCTTTTATGAATAAAGACAATATTGTATAAAGAAAAAACATTTTTCGATGAAAAATGAATTTTTACAAGATTTGTTTTCATTTTTTACATTTTAAAATTGAATTATAAAGT